CCAATCTCTTCTTTAAAACCTAACACCCACAATTTCTGGAAGCAGTTTGTTCCACTGATTAATTGTTTTCACTGTCAGCAAATTTCTCCTTAATTCTAGGTTGGATCTCTCCTTGATTAGTTTCCATTTGTTGCTTCTTGTCCTGCCATCAGGTACTTTGGATAAATTGCCCTACTTTTATTTTGATAGCTTCCCAGTCTTGGGAGACTGATATCATGTCACCCCTAGTCCTGTTTGTTAGATTACACATACCCAGATCCTGCAAACATTCATCAAATGTTTTAGCCTCCAGCCTCCTAATCATCTTCGTTGCTCTTCCCACAGCATGTTTTTAATATCCTGGTGACCAGAACTGGATGCAGTATTCCAAGTGTAGTCTTATCAAAGCAATATATAGAAGTGCTAATACTTCTCATTATCTTGATTCTATCCGTTTGGTCCTGTGACCAATCCATTTTACGACCATCATGACTTAAAATTGTGATGGACAAGCTCCATAAGCTGAGCACTACCTTGTCTTGGAGAACTTTAGAACATCCCATTCTAGTCAATTGGTTTCCAGCTGGGTTTTTTTTTTTTTTTATGGAGTACAATCTTTTGTTCCTCACTTTTCCATCGTCCTCAGCTGTGGAACTTAAATGAGAGCTGCCTGATGTTATATTTCTCAGAGCTAGCCCTGTGTGGCCTATGTTTTTGTCAATATTTATTGACTGCCATTTACCACTGACCATTTGCTGCAAACATTATGCCATTAAATTTCATTCCAGTTCTTTGATTAAAGTTAGTCCTGATGGAGCTGGTAATTAACCAAAACAGCAACATCAACCCACCACTGCTGTCATTTGGCAAAGAGAGGTGTGTCTTCAGGCAGCAGTTATCAGCATGGGTCAGAGTTGTGGCACAGTGTATGGATGTACAGCAAGAGGTTTTCATGAGAGTTTAAAGGTGGAGTCCCAATCTTTTCCTGTGGTATATTTCTGAGATAAGCTGTCTTGGAAGGAGAAAGATTTTCTGCCTTTTTTAAAGAAAAAAAACCCACCTATCTTTTTCCATGGATCATGATTTTTCTGTTGCTTTATTATTATTTTTACGCTGCAAAAAAGCCAGCTTGTTTGCTTAGAAATTGCTTGCTCTAATTGGCAGGCCAGACAGACCTCTGTGGTTAGATTAGTCTGGAAAAGATGAAATCTATTTTATAATGCTCCTTTCAGGAAGGGTGCAGAAATTTGTAGAGTAGACTGGGAACCAGGCTATCTCTAAGATTTCTGTGTCCTCCTGTGCTGTGCATCTCTTTTTGCTATTGCATTTTTTTTTAATGTAATCACAGATCAACCAAAGTTGTTCATAGATGAAATATTCTGTGGGTGTTAAGCACAAAGAGAACTGTGCAGTTCAATTCAGTTGATAGCTTCAGAATTTAATACGTGGGCATAAAAACGGTGAGATCAAAGCGGAGAAGGAGCTAAATTCAGCCATCGGTAATTTAACAAATGAATTACATGTCAGATGTCTTTATCAACATTGTAGAGTCACAAACATTTCTCATTTCTTGTAATCTAAAGTGGTGATTCATAAGCTTTCATGTTTCTGAGAGCTCATTTTACATGATCTGGATTGTGTTGGAATAATTGATGCCAATTCCCGGAGAGATTGATGGATGACTCTTATGTTCAAAAAGGCTGCAACTGTTGGAATCAAATGTTGAATTTGAACTAAACGTCCTTGCTTTAAACTTCAGTGTTATGCGTCCTTCCTTGTACACAGCTGGCTATGATCACACATTAAACACAACCATATCAACTAAAGAGGGAATACACTTCCATTTTCACAAATGCAGCTTGGCAAGTGTTAACTTGGTGTACAATTTTAATGGTTTGCTGTGCTGTTTGAGATCCTTGGTGTTCTCTGAGTTGAGTTGTTCTCTTGCAGACATTTCATAACCCATCTTGATTACACCATCAGTGCTGATATCTGCAAGAAACATCTGCAAGAAAACAACCAAGCTCAGAGAGCACCAAGACCTCCACAGTTCAGCCCCACAGTGTGCTATGCTGTATGAGGTTCTTGGTGTTCTCTGAGTGTATTTTCTTGCAGACCTTTCATTACCCAACTAGGTAACATTATCAGTGCTGATATCTGCAAGAACCATCTGCAAGAAAACAATCAAGCTCAGAGAGCGCAAAGGGCCCCACAGTTTAACCTTGAACTACAGATATTCTGTGATTCCAGCACTTTTCCTTAATTTGTGGTTCAGTATCCCAAATATGATTTTTTTCAGGAGCCAACTGGACTTTCTTATTTTTTCTTTTGAAGACGTTTCGCTTCTCATCCAAGAAGCTTCTTCAGCTTCTTGATAGGATAGTGGGGAATGGAAGATAATCCTCCAAGTGCTTCAACAACTTTCTAAAAGGATGCAAATGACCAGCTGTCTGCAAGGAATATAAACCCTTCCATTTCTCATGCTGCCTGAATTCCCTTGTTTGCGTGGCCTGGGTTCTGGCATATCGCACCCAGTACTGGTTCCCAAACCAGGGGCTGGGGACTCCTGGCAGAGGCATGAATGTATGTATGTGTTAAATTTGTATGCTGCCTTTTTATAGAAGCTCAAGACAGCAAACATTCTGCTTCCTTTTTCTCACTTGTACCTGCAAGTCTAAGATCTATTTAACGCCTATTTTGCCCTTGGATCTTGTCTCTTTAATTTGTGTTGTGCCTCCCAGCATGCTGTTTGGAGGGCCAAGAATGTGTCTACTGACACATTTCTTACTGCTCCTCAAGCTTTCCTTTACCTAATTTTAATTCTTTCCTTTATTTAACATTTGAAAAGTTGATTGAGGAGCTAGCAAAGCACCCGCCTCAAGCACAATCGTCATTGCTAGCTATGTCTATGGACCTACCTAGTTAGACAATCAAATGATAGGTGGCTACAGTCTTTTTTTTAATTTAAGTTTTTATTGGTTTTTAAAAACAAACATAAACAAACAAAACATAAAAACATCAAGCCATCTTCCATATGTATACATACAGTGTGCTGATTGGTTTACAAATTGTTTTGTGCTTCCATTTCGTAATCTTCAATTACAATTACATTGCATATAATCTCGTATTTTCAATCAAAAATTAAATACCTTAGTATCATCATTAATCAATCATTTGACTATACTTTTATTCATTCATGTTTTACAAGATAATCACAATTTACTTAGTCTGTTTTATAACAGTTCATATTATCATCCCAAATCTATCTTAAAATCATTTTGTAGATATAATAAGAAAGAAATACATCTTTATATATTTATTATTTTCTAAGAGTCTACATATTTCATTACTGTATTTTATTGTCTAACCATTGATAGAATAGATCCCAGATTTTATAAAATTGTTTATCCTCTTGTCTAATTTCAAATGTCAGTCTACTCATTTCAGCACATTCCAATATTTTCTTAATGATTTCCTCCTGTGATGGTTGTTTTCTCATTTTTCCAGTTTTTGGCAAATACAATCTTAGCCGCTGTTAATACATTTACAATCAGATATTTCAAGTCTTTACTATATATTTCAGGTAAAATTCCCAATAAAAATATCTCTGGTTTCAAGTCTATATGTTTTTTTGTCATTTTTTTCCCAACCACACGTGGATTTTAGTCCAGTATTTTTTAGCATCCGCACAAGTCATATTACCACATATGGTAATATGAGCCAGGTGTCTGATGACATTTCCAACATTTTTCGGAAACTATGATTGCTTGGGGGAAGAATTTTGGATATGGGATTGATTTAGAGAAATGGCAAAAATTGTGGTCTCAAAATTATAAAATGACAATGTCAACACCATATAAAGAAAATTTGTATAAGATGTTTTACAGGTGGCATTTCCCCTGCCCGAAAAGAATAGCAAGAATGTTCAAGAATGAATCTGATAGGTGGCTATAGTCTTGACTACCCTCTGTTGTATAGAGGTTTTGCAATTGCAATAATTTTAGTTCATAACGTAATCTCAGCATTCCTAAAAGGTCCTCTGCTTCCAAATAGTTGAGGATCTTTTTTAAAGGCTCCTATCCTTGCACCTATTTTAAAATAGTCATCTTTGTAACATACTAGCTCTATACCCATGCTTTGCTATGACACTATGTGGTCGGGTTTAGTTTTGGGGGAGCAAAATGGGGGGGGGGATTCTGCCTCTGCCTACCAGCATCCATCGGTATTCATCTGGCTAGCGTCCTGTCAGTGTGTGAGAGAGTTGAGGGCAGTTTGGAAACTGAAACAGTATTTGCTACGTGAGCAAGAAGGAGACAGCAAGAAGCCTGGGCATGGCTTAGCTCAACTGTTCTGTACTAAAGCCGCTTGATGCCATGAAACTAAAACTGAAACTCCTCTCTTCTGCTTGTGTTTTGCATTTGGAACAGATTTTTTTTCAGGTGTGGGGGGAGTAGAACTCCTTAGCATCAGAGCATGTTAATAATAATATACGAAATGCTAATGCTCTGGTGGTCATTTTGAAAAATCCTTTCTTTGTGAGCACCTAGAAGCCAAGAAAAACATGTACCAATTTTCAAGTTTGTAGGTTTTACGGTTCTGGAGCTTTTGTGATGATGCGTGAGTGGTATTTCGCTTTTATGTATATAGATTTTAGAAGTTGTGGGTGCCCCATCACTGGAGGCTTTCAAGAAGACATCCATTTTGTATTTATAATTATGTATGTATGTATGTATGTATTATCTTGTCATATTTATGTTTATATTAGAGACATTTCAACAGCTGTATGCAATGTAATTTCATTTTAATGTATGACGATGAGTATGCATTCAAAGTGACAATAAAGTTATTCTAAGTTCTACATTTCTTGTCCAAAATAGGATAGCCTGTCCTGTGGGAGTTGGACCAGATGACCTCCAAGGTCCCCTCCAACTGTCTTATTCTATGATTTAAACATGTGTTTCTGCTACAGGAGGCTTTGGCTCACTGGCCCTGTGTCCTGTTTTTTGTTTCTCTTTTCCCAGGGATGGTAGAAATTTGCCTTCTCCACATGCTGAAGCGTCGGGCATCTGGCTTCTTACGGACGGACAAGATCGCTGCACTTTTCACCAAGGTTGGCAAGACCTATGACGTGGCCAGTGAGATATGCAGGAAAGTGCAGGAGTTGCTGCAACAGGTTGAAGGCAGGTGAGGGTGATGTTCATTTTGTGTGTGTTTGTGTGTGTGTGTGTGTGTGTGTGTGTGCGCTTCCTAGTGGCCAGTCAGATGCCTCAGGCTGCTCACCATCCTATTCTTGGGTGGCACAACTGGAAGAGATAATTATGCATCTTGCACTCTCTGCAGCCACCGTGATTATTTTTAATGTGATGATTCCAGGATCAGAGCATTGTGGATAGGGCCCATCAAGCTTCTTTGGTATAACAGAATATAACGGAATAACAGAGTTGGAAGGGACCTTGGAGATCTTCTAGACCACCCCCACCCCCACTCACGCAGGAGACTATACCATTTCAGACCAGTGGCTGTCCAATATCTTCTTAGAAACCTCCAATGTTGGAGAATTCACAGCTGCTGGAGGCAAGTTGTTCCACTGATTAATTGTTCTAACTGTCAGAAATTTTCTCCTTAGTTCTAGGTTCCTTCTCTCCTTGATTAGTTTCACCCAGTGCACAGCCTTTTTGACCCAGTGCCCTGGAATCTAACCAAGTAAGATTAGGGAAATGAAAGATTGTTCTCCTGACATAGTGAGATAGTTCTTTCAAGTTATGTATGATTCCTGGGAAAGGCACAGTGAGGGAAGGAAAAATAATAATCTGACCACTATTAATCGAAGTATCCTCGACATACGACCTTCATGGAGCCTGTCCATTGGGGTCATATGTTGTAACAATAATAAAATTATGACTTTTTTGCAGCGATTTTTAATCAAATCCTATAGTAGTGACAAACCCTGCAGTCATTAAGCAAACAAAAACCAACCCCACAGTTTTGCCAAAAACAGGAAGTAAGTGGTGGATTTTGGCAAAACCATTCTAAGATCCAGTCATGTGACCACAGGACACAGTGAACCACCATTAATGCGGCCATTTTGCTGAATGCCCGAACTTCAGTCATGTGACCATGGAGAGGGTCTAACCATCAGAACTTTGAATTCGGGTGGTAAATCTCCTTTTTCAGGTCAGTCATAACTTCAAACAGTTATTAAGCAACTGGTGATAAGTCAAGGACTAACCATGTAATGCTGCCCAGTTGATTCCCTTTCTACTGGGTCTCCTAAAGCTCATGGTAGGCCTTTCATGATTGAGTTTATCTTCTCCCTATTTCTTCCAGAGACTTAGAATCAACCTTGGACCCAAAGTAGATTTCTATTCTCTAATAATTTTGCTCTGTGAGGGAGATGGCCAGTTTCCAAATTTGGTAATTAAATAGCCGAAATTGGTGCTTGAGTCTGTCTAACCAAAACAATGCAATTAGATCAGCAGATAAATTGTGGTGCCTTCTAGATCAGGTGTCTCCAACCTTGGCCACTTTGAGACTGGTGGACTTCAACTCCCAGAATTCCTCAGCCAGCTTTGCTTTAAAGTGGTACCTATTTTTCTGGCTGAGGAATTCTGGGAGTTGAAGTCCACAAGTATTAAAGTTGCCAAGGTTGGTGACCCCTGTTCTAAATGTGTCATTCTCCAGTTTCCATAAGCCCACGTCAAGTTCTTATGCCGTGCACCTGTGGGAGATTGGAAAAGTTTGCTCTGGATCTAAGTTTTCCAAACTTGGCAACTTTCCTTTTCTCCTCAATTTAGCAAGGAATCCCTTGGGAATCATGTTGACTTCTATGTCTGTTAAGTTGAGATCCCAAATTCTATCTGTGCAAACTCAATCCCACAAAGAGCTTCAAAAGAGAACGTGTCCATTTCTTCTTTTCCTTTGCAGGTCATCTGTAAGCCACGGGGAGAATGTAGGCAGGTGGTTCAGCTTTCCGACTGTGTTTCCATCTCTGTTCAGGTCACTAGTTTTATATTAAGTAAGAATCAGATGTAGTAGAGAAAAATAAGATCCCCTTTTCTTCCTTTTGACTGGGAAATTTGAAGAGGGAAAAATGATTTCCAGATGTTTTGTTTCTCTCCCCTCCCCCCCCCAATTCTCATTTTTAACTAGTTTGTCCGTAGCCATTTGGGTGGTCAGGAAACACTTTGGAAAAATATGGATTTTTTCCCCCCACTTAGTGAACATTTCAGCATTTAAACAGCAATTGAGTTGGCTGCGAAAGGAATTGGTTGAATTGGCAAGCAATGTCACTGCCTTTGCCAGTGAAACTACTAGTTTTCTTGGCTGCTCTTCCCTCTTTAAACTCGGTTTTCCACCACTTTGTGGCTGGATTTTACATAGCAATTGCCAAGGATGGAGACAATTCATGATGAAGAGACACAGAATAAAATACTTATTTAGGCTGCCCTGCCTGGCAGATTTTCTTCTGGCAGACAGGCATAAATGGAGCCACGGATGCAACCTCTCATTATATATGGTACAGAGGAGAATTACATAATTTCTTGTGTACTTTCAATATACATGAGAGAGTTTGTTAAGTTATTGCCTCTGCTCACTTTCAGTTGGGCAGCAAAGGGGTTGACCGCACAGGGATGAAATCGGTTTATTTAGCAGATGCAACATTATTCTAGGATTTTTATTTATATCCCGCCTTTACTATTATTTATCAATAACTCAAGGCGATGAACACAAATAGGACAGCTCTACAGAGGATTAAACGTCATTGCCCAGAAGATCATTGGTTGTCCTGTCCCCTCTTTGGAAGAGCTTTATAGCTCCTGCTGCCTTAAGAAAGTTTAAAACATTCTCAAAGATCCATCTCATCCTGGGCATCCTTATTTTGAACTATTACCACCTGGCAGGCGGTACAGGACAATAAAGACAAGGACAAATAGGCTGAAAAACAGCTTCTATCCCAGGGCAGTAACTCTATGGAATTCTACTGTATAGTGCAATATTAATGCAATCAGGGGTTTTCAATTCAGTTGCATAGAACGTGAAGGATGTGTGTTTTTGTTTTATTTTTTTATAGTTTTCTTATGTATAATGTACACTGAAGATGGTATTTAACTTCATTGTACGAGGTGCAATGACAATAAAGTACCACTACATCCTCCTCCAATCTTTTTCACAACAACCCTGTGAGATGGGTTGGTGCGACTAGAACTCACAGTTGCCTGGGGATTGGCTCAAAGTCACCCAGTCGGCTTTCATGCCTAGGGCGGGACTAGAACTCACAGTTGTCTGGTGATTGGTTCAAAATCATCCAGCCGGCTTTCGTGCTTAGGTGGGACTAGAATTCACAGTTGCCTGGTGATTATCTCAAAGTCACCCAGTTGGCTTTCATGCTTAAGGCAGGACTAGAACTCAGTTTCCTGGTAATTGGCTCAAAGTCACCCAGCTGGCTTTATGCCTAGGATGCAACTAGAACTTATAGTCTCCTGGTAATTGGCTCATAATCATCCAGCTGGCTTTCCTGCCTAGGACAGGATGGTCTCCTGAAGTCCTCACATCTTAAAAGTTGCTAAGGTTAAGAAACACTGTTCTAGGTAGTTAATAATACCGTGGGAAAATTAAAATGAAATAGAAATTGATACTATTGGAGCCTCCTTTGTGGTGACTGAGACTGGGCATCGGTGCTCTGCCAGTATTTGGAGATAAGAGCGTACGTTTTGCAAATACAACCTTTGATGTGGATTCTGCTTCTTTTTTTTTTTCCTAACAGAAAATACCAGCCAGCTGGCCAAGAATCCCTGAAGAGGCAAGCTTCAACCACAAACAAACCCTCTTCGTTGTCCCCACAAGCCATCAAGCACATCTGGGTGCGCACCGCCCTGATCGAGAGGGTGCTTGATAAAATTGTGCAATACCTTGTGGATAACAATAGGTAAGAAGAGTGCCAAGGTTTACTTGGGTTATTTTTGTTGTTGTTGTTGGGATGGTATATGCCAGGGGTCTTCAAATATGACAGCTTTAAGACTTGTGGACTTCAACTCCCAGAATTCTTCCTCCAGTCATGTTAGCTCAGGAATTCTGGGAGTTGAAGTCCACAAGTCTTAAACTTGCCAAGTTTGAAGACTCTTGTTGTAGATGCTGATGGACAAAGCTGGGGCTTGGATCTTTGGCCCCATCTATAGGTAAAACAGTGCTATTTCTCCCCTTTAAGATAGTTAAGTCTTTCTGGGAGCACAGAAAATCATCTGTTTTAGGGACTTGGAGATTAGGTGGAGACTAGGTTGAGATGTTGTGCTAAGAATTCATATGGCATGCTTTATATATGAAGTCAGCCATAGTGGTACACTATGGGTTCAAAGAAAGCAGGGACTATGAGAGTCCAGCTGAAATTTGTCCATCTAACTTCTGCCTTGCAACAAAGATGACTAGGGGGCTGGATGCTAAAACATGTGAAGAATGGTTGCAGGAACTGGAAATGTCTAGTTTAATGAAAAGAAGGACTAGGGGTAAAATGATAACAATATTCTAATATCTAAGGGGCTGCCACAAAGAAGAGGGGATCAACCTATTTTCCAAAGCACCTGAAGGCAGGACAAGAAGCAACAGATGGAAACTAATCAAGGAGAAACCCAATCTACTACTAAGGAGAAATCTCCTGATAGTTAGAATAATTAACCAATAGAACAGCTTGCCTTTAGAAGTTATGGATGCTCCATCACTGAAAGTTTTTAAGAAAAGATTGGACAGCCATTTATCCGGAATGATATAGGGTTTTCTGCTAGGGGAAGGGGTTGGACTACTCCAAGGTCCCTCTCGACTCTGTTATTCTGTTATCCTCTTGTCACCAACTGAAGCTTTTCACGGACTCAAGATGTTCCCACCACTTGCTCTGTGGTTAAGGAATAGCTCTTTCCACCCCTTTGATTCCTTTAGCCTCACTTGGTAGGTCAAAAGCGGTTTGCTGCTTAGCTACTATTTTATTTATTTTCTGTTGTACTTTTTTATTGCATTTATATCCCAACTTTCCTCAGGGGTTCAAAGCAAGCATCTGTAGGGGGGATTCTTGGAGTTGAAGTCTATTTTCAAGCTGCTGAGATTTAAAACACTGGTTTTTGTTGGATTTGCAAGCGATCCAATCAGCGCACAAGGAAATAATTCAGCAGGATTCATTTATAGAAGTTTAAATTATTTTATATTATTGTTTATATACAATAATATAAAACATGATGCATATATACAATACCCATGCAGCTCTTGCATTGTGGTAGCAAGCCAAAGCAACCAGAACCACCAGAATTCCAGAATCATAAAATTTATACAGACCAGTTACCCTAAGCCATGGCCAGGCTCCGAGCTGTCTCCCAGTTGCTGTTTCTTAGTCACCAAACAGTTCCCATTGGCTAACTCCTTGTTATGGCTATCCCAGCTCATAATGTCTTATATACTGGCAAGATTTAGGATAAGAAGATTGAAGTCGTAGATCTGCATACATCACTAAGCAACATTTTTATGATGTTATCCATTCAGTCATGTCCGATTCTTGGCGATTCTATGGGTCAGGTTTCTCCACATCTTCTGATCTTGTATCCCAAAGTGGAGTTCAATTTCTGATGGCAGTTGACTATCAGGTGTAAAAATAGAGAAAAGGAAGATTTCATAAGAGGAAAACTTTGACTGCATCTAAACTTAAGTGAGCATGTAGGTTGAAGAGGTTTTGATCCCCCATTGAACTTTTCCAGATGTTCCCCCTTGCCATAACTTTTCCAGATGTCCCTTTTCACACACATGCACATAAAAGAGGGAACAAGCCAGGATTAGGGTCACTTTAACTTCTATTCCATTCAAAAATTTGCCTTAAAAATATTACCTCTACATACTGCAAAATATATTGTGTTCACATTTTTCCTCTGTTTTAATTGATCGTGGGGATTGGTTTCTTCTAGCAAATATTATGAAAGAGAGGCATTATTGGCAGATCCAGTATTTGGACCCATCTTGGCCTGTCTTCTAGGTAAGTATCCTTTCTAAATGTTACTTCTATACAATTTTGAAGAACTTGGTTCCCTATGTTGTTTTCTAAAAATTAAATGGTGAACCCCAAATGTAATAGTTGCACCAGGGGAATTTGGGTGTGTGTGTGTGTGTGTGTGTGTGTGTGTTGTGAATTGGTATGTTTAATCCAATATTCCTTAGAGTCTCCTAAACTATTTTGTAAGATTGTGCAAGTTTGAAAATAAAAGATATCAGAAAGATTTTGGAGAACATAAAATGTAACTGTTCAAAAGGATTTAAACTCCCATATTCACTGCATTCATTCACCGTTTTCATACACTCTTTCCTGCAAATCCAAAATTTTCGTAGAGGCCCTTGCAAATTTTATCTCCAACACAGATCTATCAAGATATTTTAATTGGCTCAGAGTTACCCAGTGAACTTTGTGGTTGGATGGGATTTGAAGATGAGTCTCTCCAAACCAAGTCCAACACTTTAATGGTTAGATTACAGTTAGTCCTTGACTTACCACCATTAGTTTAGCAACTATTTGAAGTTTTATACAGCACTGAAAAACCTATGCCTGGTCTTCATACTTATGACTATTCCCATAGTCACTTGATCAAAATTCTTGATAACTGGCATATATTCACAGTGATTGTGGCGCCTTGGAGTCATGTGATTTCCATTTGCAATCTTCCCAGCTGGCTTCTGACAAGCAAAGTAAATGGGAAAACCTGGATTCATCTAACAATTTCAGTGATTCACTTAACAATTGTGGCAAAAAAAGTTTGTGAAAGTGAGTGTGACTCTTTAACAACTGCCTTGCTTAGCACTTAGAAATTCTGATGACAACTGCAGTTGTAAGTCAAGGACTACCTATACACCATATAACACAAATAGGAGATTTAAATGCACTACAGTTTCCTCTTCCTCTACTTTTCCTTCCCCTAGAACTTGTGTGCTTCATTTATCCTTGGGGACAAGTCAGAGAAACCTCTGAATTTGACATTTAGAAAAACAGATAATCAATGCCTGTTGTTTCCAGCATTTGGGGTTTGAACCTAAATACATCCCTCCACCAAATAGAGTCAAGATTGACTTGGAGGAGGCCAAATGGCAAAACTGGGGGAGGAATTAAAAGATGGATTAGCCTAGAATCCTTACATAGCAACAAGTGAACTAAATCTAATCTCCCTTGAATTCCATGGACCCTTAGCTAACTCCAAGCAGGTATTAACTGATAGTTGAGAAGATTTCTATGCATAGGCTGTTTAATTAGACCTTCAGGTGCGGGCCTGGTCGTTCAAACCTGACACCACTAACTCTACGACAAGCAAGGTTGGAAGATCTGTAGCTTTCCAGATGGTGTTGATCTGCAGCTTCTGACATCCTTCCTCAGTAGCTGTGATGGTTGAATTATAGGCCTGTGGCTTGAAAACCAGCCAGCTTTCCCCTCAGCATCATGCCCAGCCGGAGATAAAATTAGCTAGTATAAAATTTCAGGCATTTTGTAGTTTTTATGTATGCCTCGCTTCCCAGCTGTTCACCATTTTTACTATCCTGTGGCTGAACAAATTCATAGCTAGTTGAGTTAAGTCAATATTTTTATTTGAAAAGATGGGAGGGGGCATTTTCACAGGATTGGTCTAGTAGGGACCAAAATGCCCTTCCCTTATCTTCCAGGTACACATTTTTGAAACAAAATGGCTGCTCTAAGAGACCCAGGCCTGACCACCAAATATTTTTCTGACATTTCCAGATCTAGTATTGGAAATGAGTACTTTCTTCAATCTAATGACAGGGCTAACCCTGACCTTCCAATTTGGGAGGGAAGCAAAATCTACTTATCATTTAAATCAGAATTTAAATCTTAGCAGCTTTAGGATGTGTGCACTTTAACTCCCAGAATTCCCTGGCCAGAATTCTGGGATTTAAAGTCCATACATCTTAACTGCCATGGTTGAGAAACGCTGGTTTAAACAAATGAATATTTACTTTGAGGATTGGCCAGCCGACCTCTATTTTTAGGCCTCTTTGGGGGAAGAGAAGCATGTGACTCCATTTTCTCTGTCTGGCTTTCAGTTGGGCCTTGCGCCCTGGATTACACCAAGCTCAAAACGGCTGACCACTTCTGGACAGACCCTTCGGCAGATGAGTTGGTCCAGAGGCATCGGATTCATGGAACCCATAGTCGCCAAGACTCTCCTTCTAAACGGCCAGCCCTAGGAGTAGGTGATTTCTTCTCCTTTAATATCCCACAAGTCTTTTTTTTTTTAAAGTAATTTTGGAATACTTATACATACTGCTTTCCATTTCTTGTATTTCAGAACATTTTGTAGCAGAAGGTAGGTATCTTCAGAACATCAGGTGGTAGAAACAGACAGTGAAAGAGGTGTGCAAACCATTTCAAATGCAAACAGATCTGAATCCAAACACCCCATTTTGATCAGACATGGGCTCTTGATCATTTGGAAGTGTTCTGAACTCAAAACAACTCTGTTTTGATCTCACAATACTCCCAGAGTAGCAGGAACAGCTTGTATTGTGCTCAAAAATGCTGTTTTGATACATTCGGTTGTCTCCCTTTTATGAATGGTTTTGCACAGCTCTACTAATATTAATTACCAGGATTTATATTGCAAAGTAGGCTGCTGAATTAGGCGGCCAGTTCTGACCTTTGCTACTTGAACATGGCATTGTAATATAATTTATCTTTTTTCGGGGGGGGGGGGCTCAGTATTGCAGGGATTAGTAAATTCTTGGTTCTCTGGATTTTGCTGAACTAAAACTCCTAGCAGCTCTTGGTGTCTGCATCTGCTGGGACTTGTAATTTTCTCTGAAATTTACAAATACTCCCTTTCCATAGAAAGGGAACTGATTGATGGGTCACCACGATGCAAAAGAGATATTGAGATCCGAAAAACAGTGCAAAGAATAGCAAAGAAGTGATAAGAGATCTGGAGGCTAAACTATATGAGGAATGACTGAAGGAACTAGATATGTCTAGTCTAATGAAGAGAAAAAGACTAGGGGTGATATGATAGCAGTCTTCAAGTACTTTGAGGGGCTATCACAGAGAACAGGAGCTCAACCTATTCTCTAAAGCAGGGGTCTCCAACCTTGGCAACTTTAAGCCTAGAGTAGCAAAACTGGCTGGGGAATTCTGGGAGTTGAAGTCCTCCAGGCTTAAAGTTGCCAAGGTTGGAGACCCCTGCTCCAAAGCACCTGAGGGCATGACAAGAAGTAACAACTGGAAGATCATTAAAGAGAGATCCAGCCTAGAACTAGAACACTCCTGGCAGAGTGAAGAATTAATCAGTGGAATAGCTTGTCTCCAAAAGTTTTGGGTGCTCCATCACTCCATCAAGTTTTCAAGAAGAGATTGGACAGACATTTGTCCAGAATGATAAGATCTCCTGCCACAGGCAGGGGATTGGATTAGAAGACTTCAAAGTCCCTTCCAATCCTATTATAGTATGATCCTCACTCCGGGTTATTTTTGTAGACCAAGGCGTTCATACTAGACAACCTGTGTCCCATTAGGTCAGTGGTGGCTAACCTTTTTAGGCTCCTGTGCCAAAAATTGCACATGCACCGGTGTGTACACATTTGTGTGCCAGCACCCAGAATGCAATGCATGCACCCCTCCCCACACTTCCTACACATGCGCGTTCAATCCCCCCACCGCCCCCTTTCCTGAACTGCGCCTCACAGTCGATTTTTTCCCCCCAGTTGGTTTGAGGCCTTTTTCAGCCTCTCAGAGGCTTGGAAAAAGCCTCTGCAAAGCTTTTCAGGAGAATTATAGGCCCGTTTTGTCACTTTCGGAATTACAGGAAGTGATGAAATGGGCCTATAATTCATCCTGAAATGCCTTGCAGAGGCTTTTTCCAAGAGAGGAAAAAGGAGGCCGAAAAAGGCCTCAAACCAACTGGGGAAAAAAAATCAGCTGTGAGGCGTGCGCATGAGCAGTGAGCAGTTTGCCTGCGGCTTGCGTGCCAACACAAATGACTCTGTGTGCCACTTGTGGCACACGTGCCATAGGTTCGCCATCACGGCATTGGGTCATAATTTCAGAGATATTTTCTTACCAGATTCCTCAGTTCCTTCAATACAACTTCTCAAATACTGCCTTCACTCAAAAAGTTGGGATATCTTGAGAGATATATCTGCCTTGAAAATAACCCGTTGAATTGTATAGCATAGCTAAACAACAGCACAGGAAATGCTTTATAACATTCAGTATTATATCATAATCACCTTTATGATAATGTTTATGTCATAAACTGTTATATAAAATTTGCCAAATCCACGGGAGCCATAGGTTCCAGAATTTGGACCTATTCTGTAAATTAGCCCATTTGGGGGTACCTTGGTTCAAAGAATGATGCTCAGTGATGCACCATTTCACTCAATTCAAGGTTACAGGGAATCACAATTTTAGTAGTATGTTATATATCTCTCTCTCATTTGGAAACATAAAATCTTTCTTGAGTTGACCTCAACTCAGTGATGACATCTTGGCAACAATAGTTTAGCCATTACCTTCTTCTGGTATAGACATCTCCTGATTTATTTACTTTTATTCAATGGCAAATATGAAGAAGTATTTGTATCCAGTGATGTCCACCATGGAGGATCACAACAAGCACTATAATAGTCAATGGCAGTGTGAACCTAAACCCTGCCCCTTTGCACATGTATGCAATGTCAAAAAGCATAAAAAGGTTTGGTCTATACTACAACAACTGCCATCTGCTCTTTTTTATCATCCTCATGGATGTCCCATTTTTTACTCACGTCCCAATGGGCCTTTCATCCTTTTTCATAACTTCAGTTAAGCGAACATACCTATGGTTCTCAGCATTTTCCAACTTTCCACTCAATCCTGCTTTGTTTTTTTATATCAGCCAAGATCATCTTGACTGATTTTTAGATCAGCCAAGGAGTATCCAACCTCAACAACTTTTAAGATTTGTGGACTTCAGCTCCCAGAATTCTCCAGCCAGCATGGGAGTTGGCTGCCTAGGGAATTCTGGGAGTTGAAGTCCAGAAGTCTTAAAGTTACCAAAGTTGGACATCCCTGATCTAGCTGTTTCCACCTGCTGTAATCAGAAAACGCAGGCAGCATGCTTTATGTTAGAAATTGAATTGTTCATGCAAGATATTTGGAGTGGATGGGGAAGATTCAGGAAATAGTTGATTGATGATAAGGAAACAAAATCTTTTGTGGAGGCCAGGAATGGAAAGGACAATTTATTCAATTAATAAAAAAAAATTGCGGTAATAGAGGCCTTGGTGGACATTAGCTGAATGGTGAGTAGCTTGCAAGGTTGTCCTTGGAGACAACCGCTATAGACATAAATGTTTTGTTAACCTGGACTTAAAGTTTAATCCATTATATAGAGGTAAGTATTTTATGGGAAGAAAGGCCCTGAGAAGCATCATCTCAAAACTCATTTTCTGCTTGATAATGTGGGATGGATACATTGGTACAGGGAGTCCCAAAGGTGCTTTTTCAAGAGGTAACTGGACTTCCTTGTTTTTCTTTGAAAATGTTTTGCTTCTCATCCAAAAAGCTTCTTCAGCTCTGACTGGATGGTGGGGAATGGAAGATTTTACATATATTCCTTACAGGCAGCTGGTCATTTGCATCCTTTTATAGAGTCATTGAGGCCACTTGGAGGTTTATCTGTGTCCTCAGGGTCATCTGAGTAGTGCTCAGCTTTTTCTTGTTTGTAACTTGATGTCAATGTTGGATTCTTTTGTGCCTCAGATCAGGAAGCGCCACTCAAGTGGAAGCACGTCAGAAGACCGCTTTGCCGCTTCGGCCAGAGATTATGTGGAATCGTTGCACCAGAACTCACGGACACATTTATTGTATGGAAAGAACAATGTGCTGGTTCAGCCGGTAAGTGCTTAGAGTACAGGAAGTCCTCAACTTACGACTGCAATTGAGCCCGAAATTTCTATGGCTAAGTGAGACAGTTGTTAAGTGAATTTTGCCCCATTTTACGACCTTTCTCACCACAGTTGTTAAGTGAATCATCACAGTTATTACGATAGGAACACGGCTGTTAAGGGAATCTGGCTTCCCCGATGACTTTGCTTGTCACTAGGTCACAAAAGGGGATCACATGACCCCGGGACACTGCAGCCATCATAAGTATGAGAGTTGCCAAGCCTCTGAATTTGGATCATGTAACCATGGGGGTCCTGCAGTAGTCGTTAAGTGTGAAAAATGGTCATAATGGTCACTTTTTCCAGTGCCGTTGTAACTTCAGTCACTAAACGAACTAACTGTATAGTAGGTCATATACCAGTAATCTTTGACTTACAACCACAGCTGGGATCAGAAAATTTGATAGTATGGTTGTTAAGTGAGCTATCGTGACTGCACCCAATTTTACATATTTTTTGCTGCAGTCTTTAAGCAAATCAGTGCAGTCAATAAGCAATGTATCATATGAACTCAATTTGCAATTTCCCTGCCAGCTTCCCCATTGACTTTGCTCGTTGGAAGCCATCTGGGAAGGTTACAAATGGCAATCACATAATCCTAGGGCAAGGCAATTGTCGTAAAAGTGAGCGCCAAGGACCCAGATCACAGTCAAAGGAGTCCCGGGGATTCTGCAACAGTCATAGGTTTGAGGACTGTGCTTAAGTCATTTTCTTGTTGTAACTTCAAATGGGCACTAAGTGAAAGGTCATAAATTTAGGATTACCTATCTATGGAGATTCCCAGTCATCCAGGTCATGGTTGTCCCAAAGGTGCTTTTTTTTCAAGAGGCAACTGTACTTTCTTGTTTTTCTTTGAAGATGTTTCACTTCTCCTCCAAGAAGCTTCTTTAGCTCTGACGGGATGGTGGGGAATGGAAGGATTTATATTCCTTGCAGACAGCTGGTCATTTGCATTCTTTTAGAGAGTTAAAAAGAAAAAGGCTGCTTATTTGAGGACAGCGAAGTCCACATTTTGGACAGAGAGGCCATCTATGTCAAAATTGAACTGGTTTGAAAGAGGCCATCTATGTCAAAATTAACAGCCCTCCCTCAACAGAAGGGGAGGGATGCCAACATCATCTGTCTCCAGTCTACAACACAGCCCTTTCAGCAGTTCCAAGAAGGCTCCACATCCATTTGCACTACTCAGGTGACCCTGCGGATACAGATAAACCTCCAAGTGGCCTCAACAACTCTCTAAAAGAATGCAAATGACCAGCTGTCTGCAAGGAATATAAATCCTTCCATTCCCCACCATCCAGTCAGAGCTGAGGAAGCTTCTGGGATGAGAAGCGAAACTTCTTCAAAGAAAAACAAGAAAGTCCAGTTGCCTCTTGAGAAAGCACCTTTGGGACTCCCTGGACCAATGTATCCATCCCACATTATCAAGCAGAAAATGAGTTTTGAGCATATGATTCTTCTCAGGGCCTTTCTTCCCATAAAATACTTACTTTTTTGTAATGGATTAAACTTTAAGTCCAGGTTAACAAAACATTTTTGTCTATGGAGATTCTCAATCATCCAAGTCATGGTTGTCCCATGATTATCCTGTGGTTGGAAAAGCACCTTTGGGACAACCATTCATTTAGTGACCATTCAAAGTTACAACAGCAGTGAAAAAATTGACATGACCATTTTTACACTTATAACTGTTGCAGCCTCCCCCATGATCACATGATCAAAATTTGGACACTTGGCAACTGGCATTTATTTATAATTTAAATACATGTATTTCCAGTGTCCCAGGGTCTTTTGATCACCTTTTCTAACCTTCCAATAAGCAAAGTCAACTTAACAACTGCAACAATTCACTTATCAACTGTGGTAAGAAAGGTCATAAAATGGGGCAATATTCATGTAACATCTGTCTTGCTCAGCCAACTGAAATTTTGGCTCAAGTGTGGTCGTAACTCAGGGACTACCTGACCTTCAGCAAATGTCCAATATTTCTGTCTTCTTGTTTCTTATCACCATTGGGGTCACTTTTGGAACAGAAAGACGACATGGAGGCCATTCCAGGATATCTGTCTCTTCATCAGTCTTCTGATTCTTTAACTCTGAAATGGACACCAAATCAGCTCATGAATGGGAACCTGGGGGATTCGGAACTGGAGAAAAGGTAAGTCATTCCTTGGGCGAAAGATTAAAGGTAGCAAGGAAAAAGACATATAGATGTGCTCCTAGCTCCTAGCAAATTCCAAAGTATTTTCAGCAAAGTATCCTTATTAAATTCTAAATTTAATAGCAAGAGCAACAGTGTGGAAGAGCAATTCAAGAACAATAGTGCATGAAGAAAGCTGTGTTAATCTATGGTAGCAAAAAAAACAGGAGTCTGCTAACATCTGTTTCTCATTCACAAATTTTATTCAGAATCACAAGTTTTGCAAGGTGTGGCTGGGTTTGTCAGATTGAAATGTTTTTCAGCCTTGACATCTTTAAGAAGTTTGGACTTCAATTCCCCAGCTGGGGAATTCTAGGAGCCATCTTAAAGTTGCTAAGATTGACAAACACAGGACTAGACTGTTGTAGGATTTAAAGTAGGATGATGCCAGGGGAGCAGGAAGGGGAGGTGAAGGCTAAAGTTTTAATACAAATACAAGTTACAGGTTGTTGAGGTAATTCCCTGTTAGGAGAATGAGCTCACACAAGAAGACGTAGTGAGAGTAGTGAAGAATAACACACACACAGCACACAGCCACACTGTATAGTAAAATGTAGGTTTTTATTTCCATTAAAACGGTTAAGCAAATTCCAAACAAGCAGTCCAAGTCATTCACAGTTAAAGCAGACAGTTTTCAGTTCAGGGATAATCCAAATAACAAAGTCCAGAATCAAAAACAGTTCAGTAACAGACTTACATCAAATCCAAGACTACCTATGATCAGTAACACTCAATAGGAACAACAACACTCTCCAGGACAACAGAACAGGACTAAAACAACCCAGGTTTCTGGCTCCATCTTATGGCTGTTTGAGAAAACACACCCAATTATAGTTTTAGCATTCTCTTAAAGATACAGTATTAAAATGTCTATCCTGGTTTATATATTTTCCAACCCAACTGTTAGGTGACTTACATTCCTAATATTCTCCCCTTTGGGTAGGACAATATATACAACCTTATATTCTAAGTCCATAATCCTCACAGCAAGCCTTATGCTTTACATAAGCATAAGCCTTGGGCTTTTGTAAAATGATCTGCGATATTATTTTCTCACATACAGTATTCCAGTTTAATCATCTTACTTTGCATATATTGTCTCACATTTAAATATCTTAAATCTCTGTGTTTTGATCTTGTCTTAACAGCAATATTTGAAGCCATCTGTATTGCTGATTGGTTGTCTTCGTAAATAACAATAGAATCTGTTACATCAATTCCCATATTAATTAATAATTGCTTATAACAAACTAAATCTTTACATAGTAAAGACAAACATGAGAATTCAGCCTCCATTGTTGACAAACTTAGATGTTTGTCTAATAGACCTCCAACCAATCAATGCTTTTCCCAATAATACTACAGTACCCGATGTAGATTTTCGTGTATTTATGTCTGTAGCAAAACTTGCATCAGCATATGCAGTTAAATTCAGTTCATCTTTAGGCTCCAAATTCAATGCATAGTGCATTGTTTGTTTCAGATATCTTAACACATGTTTAGCAGATTTCAGTGCCTTTCAGTTGGCTCAGCATTAAATTTCACTAATTGGTTAACACTATATGCTATATCTGGCCTTGACCAATTACTGAGATAAGATAAACTACCAATCAAGGACTGAAAAATGTTCTTATAAAAAACAGGACTTTGAACATCACTATGGCTAAATTTCTGGCTCATCAGTGTTTTAGCTGGTTTACAAAGTTTCATTTTAAAAAATTTTAGTAATTGGTTAATTTTATCTGCCTGTGAGATTTTGTATCCTCCCCTAGTTCTATCTATCTTTAAACCAAGATATTCTTTAATTTCTCCTAACTGTTTTATCTTAAATTTCTTTTCTAACAGTGAGATTATTTTAGTAGCTTCTTGTTCAGTTTTGGTGATTAATGCTATGTCATCAGTAAATAATAGCAACAATGAAATTATACCATTACTTTATTTTTAAACAAACATGGATCAGCCATACCAGCTACAAAACTTATCTTAGTTAATTCCTTAGCTATACATTGGTTCCACTCATATCCTGATTGCTTTAAGCCATAAAGACTCTTTTTCAATCTCCAGCAGTCAGTTGTATTATCATTTTTGATACCTAAAGGTTTCTTTAAATAGTGTGTTGCAATGGTGCATGCAGATATGCCGTCTCTACATCCAAATGATTTACAATGTCTTCCTCCTTAGCTGCCCACACTAATGCTGCTTGTAATATAGTAGCCTTCAGACTAGGTACAAACACCTCATCATAGTCGTTTGCTGTCTGATTGAACCCTTGTGCTACTAACCTGGTTTTATGGGTAACAGTCCCATCCACATCTGTCTTAAGTTTATAAACCCATTTACATCCTATGGCATGTTTACTAGATGGTAACTTAACATTTTTGTATACCTCCAATAGTTTTAAGGATTTCAGTTCTTTTCCATTGCTTCCTGCCAAGCAGCCTGATCCTTAGCAGGATATAGTTTTAGCTCATTATAATTACTTGGGACTGTATTCACTTGGCATACAACACTAGCCTGATATCTATCAGGTGGTCAAGTTACACGGGTTGAACGTCTTGGTAATACAGGGCTTACTGGTGGACTCACCTGTTCTACCTGTTCCTGTTCTTCTACCTGCTCCTGTGCCTGTTCTCCTACCTCCTCCTGTGCCTGTTCTTCCTCTTTAATGGCTGTTCGTGGTTTACTTATTTCATCTTTAGGGACTATTTGGGTGTCAATAATAACATTATTGCTGGATTCCTGTTCCAGTTTATCCCACCCAACGTGCTCAAGAAATTTTGCACTAGCACTACAATAAACATGAGCTGTGCCTTGATCCCAAAATCTAAACGATCAATGATTGGCTTCGTAACCTACGAAAAATAATTTCTTAGCTCTATGTTGCCCTTTCAGTCTTACCTGTGAGGGAATATGCACCCATGCTGGTGCTCCAAATGTGTGTAGGTAACTTAAATTTGGCTTTCTGCCATGCCAACGAGTGAATGGCAATTCTCCAGTTGTTGTATTCACCACATTGTTTAACACATGGTTACTACACATTATGGCTTCACCCCACAGTGTTTCAGCAAACCTGAGTCAGATAACATAGTGCAAGCCATGGCTTGTAATGTTTGCCCTCTTCGTTCTACAAACGAGTTATGTTGTGGTCTGTAAGGTGCAGAATGTTTATGCTCTACACCAGCCAATTTTAACATAGTTTGGAATCTCTTGTTAACAAACTCAGTCCCATTATCAGTAACTAAAGTAATTACTTTACTCCTCATTTTTCTCTCTGCAAACTGTAGCCAATTAAAGAAATGTTGGAATGTTTCTGTTTTGTTTTTCAGGAGATAGCAGAAATCGTACCATGAGTAATGGTCCATTATACTCAAAATATAGCAGGCACCTCCCAAACTAGGTTTCTTAGGACCAATGCTGTCAGCAAAAACAACCTCTAAAGGTTCTTTGGTCTTAAATCCATTTAGTCTGTTTGCAGGAGTAACCTTACTCTTCTCTTGGCTACAAGCATTACAGTTTAAATACTTGCTACAGGGTTTTAATTTTACTCCATCTGACAATTCAACAGTTTGTTTCAACATTTTGAAATTAATGTGCCCTAGATGTCTATGTAGTAAATGTATACATTCATCATGTGGCTTAACATTGTTATAAACCGAGTTAGCCATTTTCAACTGGTCATCATGTATCACATACAAATCAATATGCAGTACCTTCACCAGAAGCTTTCATCTTCCATCAGTTTGCAAATGATACATGTTGTTTACTCGTAGACATCTTTACAAACCTCTCTCTTTCTTTAGTAATGCACTGTGATGCTCCACTATCAACAACCCACAAATCATGGTTTACAGTTGAATTGCTAGACATAGCTAAACTAACATTCTTCTTGGCCTTCTGGTGATTACTAGTATTCTGTCTTTTTCCTTTCTTACAGAATCTAGCTATATGTCCTCTAGCCCCACAAGAAAAACGTTTCCTAACAGTATAGGCAGTTGAACACAAATCCTTTTCTTGTGGTTGTTTCTTCCTCAGTTGGTCCCTATCTAGCCGTCTTCTTGCTTCTTCTAACAACCTTCCGGTTATGTCAGTCAATGTCAGTTCATCTTTGGTCAGGACTTCCAGTGAAGATACGTAATCATCATAACTTCCATCCAGTGAGGAAAGAATGATGTAAACTTGATGCAGCTCTGAAAATATCAGTTCCTTTTCATGTAGCTCTTGAAAAGTTCTTTTCATGAAGTTCAAATGAGCTAATATATTTCCACCTTTCAGAAGACGTGCTCTAAACAGTTCATGTGTAAGATGTATGTGTGCACCTACACTGTCACGAACATAATCCTCTTCAAATTCTCCCAAAACCTAGCAGCAGACTCTTCTCTACGAATATGGACCAGCTGCTGGTCACTCAGATTGCAAGAATTTTATCAAATAATAACTGCCATATGTTAAAACTCATTCCAACTAACCAACTCCTAACCAATAACCTCCGAAACAAGCATTTTCTCAAAGTTCCATTTTATTAGAGTTGTCATACTGGCACATTTGGGAAAACCCGAATCTGAGAGTTCCGGGTATTCCCCTCCCAAAGAAATTCAAAGATCCATCCCATGCACCCACCAGTCCATCCCATGGCCCAATCAAATGCAGTCCAACTGGAGACATTCCTCCAGACACTCCTCTCCAGGTGCAGGGTAACATGTCCTTGACTTTCTAAGAAAGAACGTTGTTGAGTCTAATCTTCCATCTCTCTGTGAAATCCCCCCTCCCAAATTCCCAGGCACTAAATGTGGCAGCCTCGAAGCTTCCAAGTAAAATATGGCTTCCAAGGCTGACAAACTCATTGTGTTGTAAGACTTCTTGGATACATCTGGCTTGGCTGTAAGCTGAGGGCATATATACCCATCCAGTACCTGATTTTTTTCCATGTAAACAATGTTGCACTTCAGTGACAAGATGGATTAAGGGCCATCTTCATAGTTGTTGTCATTGAATATTATTCCAGGTCCAATGGTGTTGTTTAGTACCTTAAAGTCCAGTTTTCTATGCATGAATCCAAATTACAGCTTTCTTGATAGATGGTGGCCTTGCCTCTGTTTAAACCCCTGAGGGAATGGAAATCCATTCTTCTCTTTTCAACTCTTGTCACACTTCAGTGTCATTATGATCTCGTTTTCAGCATCTACTGGGACTACGCCTTGATTGTACCGTTCAGCCAAATTGTCTGCATCCACTGCCATCAACAACGTAAGTCTTCGTATGTGATGGGTTTGAACACCTACAACAGAAGCTAGCAGTGATTTAAGAGAGCATCTTTTCTCAGAGTTGCCATAACTGGTGAAATCTGTCTTGAAATAACACATTAATCACATTAATTTATTAATGAATTGCACCGATTTCATGTGGGTGATTTAACTTGGTACGCATCCACTTTAATTGAGTGCTGTCAGAGAAGGAAATTGAAGTAGCTGGAGAACTTTGTGATGATCTCCAGAACATAGGATGATTAATATGTTGAATAAAAGAAACTAGTAATTGATGAAACAAAATGATAGAATCAAGGTCACATGAAGTGTTAATACCACTTTATAATGCCTTAGTAAGGCCACACTTGGAATATTTAATCCAGTTTTGGTCACAGTGTAAAAAAGATTCTAGAAAGAGTGCAGAGAAGAGCAACAAAGATGATTAGGGGACTGGAGGCTAAAACATATAAATAACGATTGCTGGAACTGGGTATGTCCAGTTTGATGAAAAGAAAGGACTAGGAGTGACATAATTGCAGTGTTCCAATATCTCAGGGGCTGCCACAAAGAAGAGGGAGTCAAGCTATTCTCCAAAGCACCTGAAGGCAGGGCAAGAAGCAATGGGTGGGAAACTGAACAAGGAGGGAAGCAACCTAGAACTAAGAAGACATTTTCTGACAATTAGAACAATTAGCTAGTGGAACAACTTGCCTCCAGAAGTTGTAAATGCTCCAACACTGGAAGTTTTTAAGAAGAGATTGGATAACCATTTTTTTCTGAAATGGTATAGGGTTTCCTGCCTAAGCAAGGGGTTGGACTAAAAGACTTCCAAGGTCTCTTCCAACTGTGTTATTCTATTTTAAATAAGCAGACAATTTCTTTTGTATGGGGGTAGTGGAGAGAGAGAGTGCTGCAGTGACAAACTTGTAGCCTATGAAAAATATATCTGACCCTCCCCACCAGTAAATGCTCATTTGGAGTGGCATTCTGTTTATGCAGCGTAGAACTCTGTTGGCTTTTTTTGGCAGCTGCAGCATGCTGCTGGCTCATATTTAAATGATTGTCCACTAGGACTCCCAAGATCCCCCTCGCAGTTACTTAGGGGAGTGGAGGCTAAAACATATGAAGAACGGTTATATGGGCCTGGCTAGTCTAGTGAAGAGAAGAACCAGGGGAGATATGATAGCAGTCTTCCAATACTTGAAGGGCTGCCACAGAGAGGAAGGGGTCGAGCTATTTTCCAAAGTATCCAAAGGCCAGACAAGGAATAATGGATGTAAACTGGTCAAGGAGAGATTCAGCCTAGACATAGGGAGAAATTTTCTGACAGAGACCAATGGAACAGCTTGTCTTTGGAAGTTGTGGGAGCTTCATCACTGAAGGCTTTCAAGAAGAGAATGAACTGCCATCTGTTAAAAATGGTGTAGGGTCTCCTGCTTGGGCAGGGTGGTTGGATTCGATGATCCATTCCAATTCTGTTAATCTGTTTTTAAAAAGCTTACCTCCAGTTGCAGATCACTAAAGGTTTTTAAAATAGACTAGAGAACCATTTGACTAGGATGGTATGAGACTCCTGCATTTAGCAGGGGGTCGGACTAGAAGACCCACAAGTTCTCTATCAGGCCTATGATTCTATGATTCTGTGAAATAGATGTGCAAGGCATTCCTAAGTAATTTCTTTAAAATGGACTTTGGATCCTTCTTAACTTCAACAACGGGTTGTGTTTTAGAATTGCAATTCTATTGTGCCTTTTGTTGCTGTGGTTTTTAAAGAAACCAATAGCAAGGAACATTTCTCCCTGCAGCTGACCAAGGTGGGACTTTGGTGCTGGTGAGCCAGGATGGTATCCAGAGGCCCCCACTCCATTTTCCACCTGGTGGACATCTCCTGGCCTTCCTTTCTTGCCTTGAGAATGGCCTCCTGCCCCGTGGACAGCTGGAGCCTCCATTGTGGTCCCAACAGGGAAAGGTAAGGCTAGAGACTCCAACTCTGTAGAATCATTGCTCTGATTCAGCCTTCTCCAACCTGCTACTACCTCTAATGAACACATAGTCCTTGTTAAGCAAGAGAAGGATCCTTCTGGAGAAGGATTGATGGGCATCAAGTTCTAGAGTAGGGATGTCCAACCTTGGCAACTTCAGCCTCTTGAGGGGGCTTGGGGAGGAGTTTCTCATGCGCTCAGATACAAGGTCTTATCTGGTCCAGGTGGCATTTTTTTTCTTTTTGTTTCCTTAACTTTCTAAACTTTCCCAAGGAATTTTTTAAATAACGTTCTTGGCTTTTGGTCCTCTCTGCTTACCTGCCTGCTTCATCTTTAGGTATGGCAGCTTCAGCCTCATCTCACACCACCTTGTCTTGCAGGGCAAAGTTTTTCCAAAGCTCCGGAAACGAAACAGCTACAACCGGTCGATGGACATGGAAGAAATGCCATCGGTCATGGAGACGGCTACTGATTACGTCTTCCGGATTATTTACCCAGGTCACAGGCACGAGAACAGTAAGGATTTCTCCTCTTTTGGTTTCACAGACTATGAGAGAAAGAGAGTGTGCAGAAATTGAGGCTTGCAATCCTGGAATTTCATCCAAACAAATTCTTAAAATGAATTCCAGGTGGTCCTCGAATTACAACCACAATTGAGCCCAAAATGTCTGTTGCTCAATGAGAAATTTGTTAACTTAGTTAGTTTTCCTCTTGTTATGACCGAATCACTGCAGTTGTCAAATTAGTAACCTGGTTGTTAAGTAAATCTGGTTTCTCCATTGACTTTGCTTGTCAGAAGGTCGCAAAAGATTATCACATGACCCCAGGACACTGCAACCATCATAAATGGGAGTTAGCTGCCAAGCATCCAAATATAAATCATATGACCCTGGGGATGCTGCAATGGTTGTAAGTGTGAAAAAGTCTTATAAATCACTTTTTTCAGTGCCGTTGAAACTTTGAATGATCACTAAACAAACTGTTGTAAGTTGAGGACTACCTGTATAATATAAGCCTCTTAGTATGATGTAGACTGTGGGAGATGGGGAAATTTAATCTCTCAATATCCTCAGGTCTATGGTGACAGCCAGAACTTCTCTTCTATTCTGCAATTTCAGGGAGCTGACAATCAGGATTTCGGTGTCCGGGAGAAGTAAAATTCCTATAGTAGTCATAACCCAAATCTTTTGTGGGAAATTATATAAGATTGTTGCAATTCTGATACTGAGGTTGCTAAACCAGAATTGGAAACCTACAATCTTGCAAGAATTAACTCTGCACCCTTTGTAGGACCAATGTGTTCCCACTCCTGAGCTAACCCATAATTAAGTGCTGAGATAAAACAGCTTTATAAGCTGTATTTTGGATGTTGCTTTGGTTAACCAAAATTAAGATTAACATCAAATTTGTCTGTGTTTGAATGGCCCAGCAAAAATAAATGAAAGGACAGCCAAGCCTTTAAGTTTTCTTGTCACATCAATGCATAATGTTGGGACTTGTGTAATTTATTCTTGTTATTCTGAATTACTGTTTTTTTGCTATCAGATCAGAATCAGCTAGGTGAGTTCTACTTTATGTTCAGGCCAGAGGGATTGACTGGTGACATAATACTGAGGCATTTGGAGGACATTTTTATGCCTTTTATTTTTTCTGTGTATGCAAGTTGACCAACTCCAGATGGATTAGAAGTAGAAGAATCTGTTTCGGATCCATTCTAGTTGATCCATTCTAGTGATTTCTCAACCGAAATGTTCTGACCAAGATTTCCTGCAACCGCAATTAAGGACATGCTTAGTCCAAACCACTCTTGTTTTATTTCAGCACTGGGAATTATGTTTATTCCCAGCCCGTAATGAGTCCCAAACAGTCTCTCGAGATAAGCACCCACCTTTATCTTCTTTGAATTGCTGCCAACTAAAGTGCCAAATTAACTGAAAAAAGCCAAATGAAGTACAAAGGCCACACAGAGCTTCAAGGTTTAATCCGAACAGAGTGAACGACTTTGCTTCCTGCAAAGGTTCCTGTCCCTTTGCACTTCCTTTATACCTTATGGGAGGGGCAATCACCTCCAAGCCTTACTCCCGAGTTGCCCCTTTTGTTTTAGCTGCTCTTGCCTTCTGGCAGCTCTGTACACATGTGCACGGGGAACAGGCTCCCCTTGTTCCTCTGCCTCGCTGCTGCCGGATTCTGGAAGTTCCAAAATTAGCACATAACTCTCAGATGGCCTTGGTCCCATCTCTGTATTGGACACAGGACCCTCGTCCGAGTCCTCTCCAGACTCCCTGGCCGGTCCCCGTTCTTCCCCACTGTCTGATTCTGCTGCCGTCTGCACAGGCTGCCAGCAAACCACAACACTAAACTACTTCATTGGATAGCCCTTCTGAATGTAATTGAGCCCTGCAGTTATAGTTATAAGCCGTGACAGTCGTAAACTGGGTCACTACATAACCAGACCTGATTTTACAACCATATTTTTTACAGTGGTTGTTTAGTGAATGTGGCAGTGCCAAGACATTATGTGAACCCATTATGTAGTACAGGGCTGTTTTTGCCAGAAACTGGATGTAAACACTGTTTTCTGGCAACAATACTGTAAATTGTGAACCTATGACTGTGAAGTGCTGCAAATGGCCATAAATGTGGACTTCTTGCTAAGAGCCCAAAATGTGATCATGCAATCATAAATGTGGTCTGGACATCGTAACTAGGAAATGAGATCCTAAGTTGGTTTTTTGTTTTATAAAACTTGTTGGCCGCCCATCTTACCCCAAGTTCCTTTTGAGGGGAGGGGTCAATTGCAACTTTGAACAAGTCCCTAAGTGACAGGTCATAAGTTGTAAAGAGAAAGAGAAATACATGCGGTCTTTTGCTCCAGGAGGAGAAGTGGAAAATTGATGAGAAAACATTCACTGCATTGTGTAACATCCTAAACTAGGTTAAAACTGAGCTGGGTCAATTGTAGATCATCACAACGTAGAAGCCAGCCATTATTTTAGGGTATTGAATGAACCTGGCCCTCATTTTATGCCAAGATACAGTTAATAAACCATATGATGATTCATAGGAATAATATATTATCTGAATATGGAAATTTGGCTTTGTTAATCTTAGTCTAGGGTTGCATGTGTTATTATGTGTGCCCCTGAAATGGCCTTCCATGGAGGAAAAGGTAAGGATTTTATGAGCAGAATCTGGTGAATTACATGCAAGTTTGACTGATTGAGTAATCTACTAGCTAACACCTTACGAAAACATCACCTGTTGTGCACCAGTATTTGGATGAGAGAGATACAAACTCAGGGTTGGGTAGAGAAGACGTTACTTGGAAACTAAAAGTTCCGCAAATCCATGAAGGTGGAATGATATACTGACCCCTAAAGGAGGGGAGGACCACATGTCCTTTTAAGACTTGATTGTCAATCCTGGCACCCGTTTTGTTTTCTTATGCTCCTCTTTCACTATTTTTTTGAGCAGTAACTATTAACTACCACCACTTAGCTGCCAGCCGCTCTGCCTCCGTCGACGATGACGAGGAGGAGGAAGACAAACTGCACGCAATGCTATCCATGATCTGCAATCGGAACCTCACAGATTCTAAAAGGATGAAAGGTTTTTATCCTTCTCCTCCCTGCCCTCACTTCATTTCTCCCACTGGCTCTGGAGCAACACCTGCCCACTCAATGTACAACAGTGTTGGCATTACTGCAATGTCAGCCCACTGCTGGGGCACCCTTATGAGTCAGGGAAAGCAACGGCATGGAAGGAGGAAGAGAAGAGAACATGGTCTCTCTTTCCAGCCTATCAAAGAGAAGGATCGGGGGTGGGGGGGAAGAGAAATGATAACTGTCTTCTGGGACGAGGGGCTGTCACAGAGAGGAGGGGATTGACTTATTTTCCAAAGCACCAGAGGGCAGGACAAGGCACGATGGGTGGAAGCTTGTTAAAGAGAGATCCAACCTAGAAGGAAGGAGAAACTTCCTGACAGTGAGAATGATTCATCAGTGGAACACCTTGCCTCCTGGAGTTGTAGGTGCTCCATCACTGGAGGTTTGCAAAAATAGACTGGACAGCCATTTGATGCTTGTGTTTTGACCTAGGCTTCCCCAACAGCGTGAAGCCATCTTGATAAACCCCTTTTATTTAATTTAGAATGAATTTCCTCTCCCAACAAAGTCCCGCCCAACAGTCTTTCAAGATAGTTCCCAATTACAGACTTTTATCAGGCTTGGAGAGTGGCCAGGCTGATATCTTTCAGATGCTGGAATACTTAGCTAGCATGCCGGAATGAACTAATAGCCTCCTGTAAAGCCCCACTCCCCTTTTGCTCCTCTTTTATATTCTAGGAGAGGGGTCATTCACCATCCACCTGTGGCTTTAATCCCAAATCAGGCCTTGTTCCTCAGCCGTTCCCTTCTTCTGCCAATTCTGCACATGTGCACACTGGGAACAGGCTCCAGCTGTTCTTCTGCCTCACTGATGTCCAACTCCGAAGGCAGCTGATAACTGTCAGAAGGCCCTGGCCCCATCTGACGCAGAGCACTTGTCAGAGCCTTCCCCAGATTCCAAGGCTGGCCCATTTTCCTCCCCAACCTCCTCACTGTCCAGATCTGTTGGGCCACAACAGCTTGCTTCAGAAGTTGTGGGTGCTCCATTCACTGGAGACTGGACAGCCACTTGTCTGGAATGGTATAGGGTGTCCTGCTTGAGCAGAGGATTGGACTAAAACAGGGGTGTCAAATTCGATTTCATTGAGGTCAGCATCAGGGTTGTGTTTGACCTTGGGGGGCTGGGGTGGGTGTGGCCAGGATGGGCATGGCCAACTTGATGTCCCTTGTGTTGGGGACACCTGTGGTGGCCCGAGTGCTCTGCCAGTGAGAACGGGCTCCCAAACTCCATCTTTTGTTGCCATAGCCTCCTGCAATCCTCTGTCAGTGAAAACGGAGCTCGGAAGGGCTGCACGCGGCATTCCTGAACTCCGTTTTCATTGGCAGAGGGTTTCAGGAGGCTGTGGCAGCCGAAAACGGAGTTTGGGAGCCCATTCTCATTGGCAGAAGCAGGCTCCCGGGCCTTGAGTTTGACACCCCTGGACTAAAAGAACTCCAAAGGTCTCTTCCAACTTTGTTATTCTGTTATATTCTGTTACGGTCTCCTGCCTTGAGCAGGGGGCTGGACTAGAAGACCTCCAAAGCCCATTCCAGCTCTATGATTCTTTGCTGCATGTTTCTTCAATCCATGAGAACCAATTGCTAGTTCCTTCTCCTTTCTTTTACTTACTTAACCAGGGAGGGTGAAAACGGACTCCCCGGGCTCTGGAGTCTCTCCGGAAGCCAGAAACAGGTCCATTTCCGGCTTTCTGGAGCCTCTGGGAGGCCCGGTTTTTGCCCTCCCCGAGCCTCTGTGCATGCCCTGCACTTACCTGCATCCAAAACGGGCCACATGTGGACTCAGGGGAGGGGAGGGGAGTGGGATTTGGGAGTTCTCTGAGCTGCACAGAATCTTAGCCGGGGGCTCTCCCGACCCCCCGCAAACCCCCACTCGCCCCCCCCCCCCCGGTTATATCAGACTGAGGAGCTATTTGTTACTACTTTACATTGCTGATTCTGTCTTAGGACAGTGGAGTCCTTGGTGCTCTCTGAGTTATCTTGAGGGTCCAGTTTGACTCATGAGGACTATCTACCTGATGGCTTAATGGAAAATCTTTTCTGGAATGCTGTGCCAATGAACTCTACTCAATGTGACGTAAAAAAAATATTTCTTCAGTCAAGTCCCTTTTGGGTATAAAACTATTTCAAGCCAACTGCTCTGAATAGTTTATACCCAGAACCAGGAATCTTGGCCATAGAGAGCCCAGTTCAAGCACCCCCTCCTCATCCAAAAGAAAAGAGACCCCAAACCTGTTCTTTCTTTGCCGATAAAACAATTCCCTCAGACTATGCAGATGTTTCTAGTTTTAACTACATCTCCAAAAGGGATCCTGTTGAGCTAGGAAAGTTGCAGAAGGAGACCAATGGAATTAGGAAGTTCTGAATTTAATTCCCATGGCAACATAGCAGGAGGTATGATTGGGGTATGTAAAACTATAGGATTTGACGTGAAGAAATTCTCTGCATCACAAATTATCCATCCCAAGATTGTTCATTGGAACTATATTATGCAGAAAGATTCAGGACAGCTAATTTAACCTATGGAATTCTCTGCCATATAAGACAGGATGAACATGACCTACAGAGCCAGTTACTGCAAAGGGGATTAGACACATTCAGGGAGGAGGACGATATCCATCATCCACAGTCACGGTGGCTTTGCATTGACTCCAGCAACAGAGGAGGAAGGCACCTCGTTCCCTGTTTCCGGGGAGCAGGATGACCATGGTGCTTTTCAACGCCGCTTTGATTGAGGGTCACCTGGGAATAATGTTCTGAACTGGTTTTCTCCTTTGGTTGTTACAATTTCTTGGAAGTAAATAAAAGATCACATACCCCCTTACCTACACAAGGGAGACCCTCTAAAAGGTTGAGCTTTGAGATTTCGGGTTGGTGTGCTCCCTGATGTGCTTAATGACAATACTGTTGTACCTGGTTTGCTCTTCATTTTGCTTTTGAGTCCCTTGCAATTTCTTTAACCTTTTGCATGTGTCTAAAAATTTGGCAGAGATCCATCGCCCGCAAACCAAAACCTTTTAAGCTCATTCTGAAGATGCTGTTCACTCTAATTCTTCACTAATTCAGGTACCTTTCATCTGAATTCTTTAGGGTCTGTGGGGTTCACCTTAAAAGGACAGTGTTCATTCTTTTCTTAATAACAACAATAATAATTCCAAGATCTTTTCTTACCAATGGAAGAGAAAAGGGGGAGGAGGAGGGGGAGGGGACTCTCCCATCCCTTTATGATTGACTGTAGAAGATGTTGCCATAAATACTGGCTCGTTCAGCTCGTTCCTGAAGAATTAAAGGTGAAGAGCACTTGGTTGTTTGCTTGCTTTTTTTCCTCCTGTTGTCTTTCATGGCCCTGATTTGCTTTTACAGCTTGATCTTATTTTCGTTAAACGTTTTTAATCGCACTAACAACAGTTGCCTGCTCCCGGCTCCTCTCTTTTGCTATGAACCATCTGACAACATCTGTTACTTATCCCTCTTTCCCTAACATCTCATCGTCGCCCCTAAAATTAAGTTTCAGTATTGGTTGCAAGAATGCATGCTTGGCATAGTGCCATTTCCCCCCCATTTTTGTTTCCGCCACAGTTTTGAATGTGCTGCTGTAAAAACAAAGCAAAAAACATTTGCCTGCATGGTTTTAATTAGCTGGCCTTTCCGGCTGAATCGTTTGCGTTAACAGACATGGTGGATGAGCTGAAGGCCAGACATTTATGTAAAAAAAAGCACAATCTGGGTTTGGTGTAATCTTCTTTTGTTTAAAAAAAAAAAAAGTTAAGAAATCCAGTCTGTGGAGATTCTCAGTTATCCAGGTCACGATTGTCCCAAAAGTGCTTTTTTTTCCCCAAGAGGCAACTGGGACTTTGTTTTTCCTTGAAGATGTTTTGCTTCTCATTCAAGAAGCTTCTTCAAGTTCTCCAGAATTAAAGTTCTCCAGAACTGAAGAAGCTGCTTGGATGAAGAGTGAAATGTCTTCAAGAAAACAATCAAGAAAGTCCAGTTCCTTTTTACGAAAAGCACCTTTGGGATTAAGAAACCCGGGTGGGTTTTTTTTTTAAACAAAGTAATATTTTGCAACAAATCTGTTTTGGTTGCCCTCACCCCAAAAGGTGATATCAAGGTGGAAATAAATTCGTTATTGTAAATTGTCCAGAGTCTCTTAGGGGAGTGAGATGGGCTGTGTAGAAATTTAATAAATAAATTTCATTGTACATAGAAAATATAGAGAACATGTTGGAAAAATTTTGCACAGTATACCCTTTTCTTTCTTGTCCACATGTAGCTCAGCAAAGCATGATCTGCTCCAGTCCAAGAAAAAAACCAAGAAACTTTGTGCAAGATTTAATCTTTGTCCCCTTCCTCTTTTGCCTAGATATTAATGACATCACTGAGATGCAAGGATATGGTGCTGGCTTCTTTTCATGGCAGCTGGACCACTACAGTCAAGGTTCCTTATGTCTCTCATGCTCCACAGCTGGCTCTCCACACCTCCCCAGCTGCTGCACTTGTATCCATGACAGGTGAAGTAAACTCTTTAGAACAGGGGACTCCAAACTTGGCAATTTTAAGACTGGTGGACTTTAACTCCCAGAATTCCTCAGCCAGCTATGGTATGCTGGCTGAGGAATTCTGGGAGTTGAAGCCCACAAATCTTGAAGGGGCTGAGGTTGAGAAACATTGTCTAAGCTGAGAAACTAAGAAGGGTCAGGTCTGGTTAATTCTTGCATGTGATAGCACCAGGCCAATAGAAAGCTAGGAAATTGATTGACATTCTGGAAATGACAACCTAGTTTTGTATTGTTGTTTGGCATGCTTGCTAAAAATTGTGCTCAACTCGAAGGAGGTTTTCCTTTTTTAAAACCATGCCAAAAGCTACCCGTGGTTTAATTTGGTTCAAAAATTCATTACTTTACCTTAAAGCAGGGGTGTCCAACCTTGGCAACTTTAAGACTTGTGGACTTCAACTCCCAGAATTCCTCAGCCAGCATACCATAGCTGGCTGAGGAATTCTGGGAGTTGAAGTCCACAAGTCTTAAAGTTGCCAAGGTTGGACACCCCTGCCTTAAAGTAATTGCTGACTACCAGCTGAATGTCAGCAATATCATGTGTCCTAAGAGTGTAAGTAGTGGTGGTGCATACTAAAATAAAGGGGGTTTGATAGTGCATACTAAAATAATGGGGGCATAGGGAATGGAGGGATATCTTTCATTAGATTTATTCAAGTGGAAGCTAAACAGCCCTTTGCAGGAGAAGCTTTAATGTGGATTTGTGCACTAAAAAGGGTTAGACTCCATGGCCTAATTGCTCCTTCTAATGCTAATTCTAGGTCTTTACCTTGGTTGGGTGTATGATGGGCACCTGGTCAGGGGAGAGGACAATGAGAACTAGTGGCTAAAATGTCAGGTTAACAGTAGGAGACCCTAGATTTAAATGGACTATGAAATTCTCATTGTAATTACACTGTGAGGTGATTAGCCCATCTCAGCTTGTTGAACCATAGTGAAGACACTGCAGAATAATCCTTATTACAACATCTTTAGGACCTTTGGGGAGATGGATAAATGAGAGGCAAAGATAGTTGTTGTTGTTAGAATAAATATGTTTGATGCATGTGTTCTGAATGTTGCTCTTTTTCCTAACAGGACCCCTCTAAAACTGTTGTGTGAAAGTATGAAGAGGCAGATTGTTTCCAGAGCCTTCTATGGATGTAAGTTCTGTTTGTGAGGCTGGATCCCAGCTGAACATCAAACTAACTGCCTACCTCATCTGGTGCCATCCAGGCAAAAACATCCATAGAAGGGCTCAAAATGAGGAAGTTGGTGAACAGAGCAGAAGTTGAGAGACACCTCAAGTGGTAGGGGAGGCGTCAAGTGCAGAATTAGCCTTGAATCCTTGTGTACCTGCAAGTGATCCAGAAATATCTCTTAAGCTCCATACAACCTTATCTGTTGTGTCTGTTCCTAGGGGAAGGCTGGTACCCCGGGAAGATTCCTGTGAACATAATATAGTAATTGCCTTGAACCCTACGTTTGGGGATCTAGTTGCTTGTAGCTGTCAGCAACCAAGACCAACCCCCTCCTTTTTATTATGTGTGTTGACATTGCACACACATGGAAAACAGGCAAGGGTTTGTATCTCAGTGCTCTGTCCACCATCTTGCTAATTTTGATCGCTTCCCTCCCTCACATGGTCACCAATGTAATTGCATACACCATTTTTATTTATGAAGAAAATGAATATGGCTGCCCAGTTCACTCACAATTCACCGGGAGGCTCAAGAAGTAAAACCTCAAATACAAAACCCAACTTCTTGGTGGCAAGAATCAAACCAACCACTTGATGGTCTCTGTATCACCCTGTGGGCCCCCAGATCCATAGGAATGATGTTTCACAGGGAGGGAGCCACCATGGAGAAGGTCCTTCTTCTTCATCCCATTAGATGGACCTCCTTCAGAGAGTGGATCTGTAACATGCTGTGTCTCCTCACTCTGGTAGGTCAGGTAAATGTAACTGAGAAAACATGGTCCTTCAAATCAGGGATTGCCAACCTTTTGGACCTCAGGGACCAGCAAACTCATGATTTTAAATCCCGCGGACCAGAGAAAGTCTGCAGGAAAATCCCCTACCCCATTTTCCTATCGATTGTTCATTTTTTATTTGGGATCACAGGATACCATCTCCAACTCTGTTTCAGGGGAAGAGAGAGTGAGAGAGGGAGGGAGGGAGGGGGGAGAGAGAGAGAGAGAGAGAGACTTTTGGCTTCATGCAAGGAAAGCAGCAGAAGTCTTTTTCTCTCTCTCCCAAACTCCGCCAGAAATGAGTCTTTGTGAGACTTGTCATGCCAGGGCAGCCTCTTGGAGCAGGATGCCTTGCAGGGTCCCAAAGACTCATTTCTGGTGGAGTTTGGGGGAGAGAAAGAAAGACTTTTGCTGCTTTCCCTGCGTGCAGCCAAAAGCAGAAGAAGAAAGAAGCGGAAAGAAGCAGCCGGTGGCCAGGCCAGGCAAATTCCCCTCCTCCACCTTTTCCCTCTCCCCTCACCACCTCATGTTGTTTGCAGTGCAAGCGACGAAAGCCTTGTGTTCCCACACAGCCTGGATTAATTGCTTTGGGGGGTGTTTTGGGAGTGACATTTCTCTGCGGACCACCAAAATTTTCTCGCAGACCACCGGTGGTCCCCGGCTCCCTAGTTGGTGACCACTGCTTCAAATAACACTGCAACTTCCATCAGCCTCAGTCAGCATTACTGATGCGTGGCCAGGTTGAAAAAGGTGCACCTCTGAACAGGGCCAAGAGCATGGATTTCTCACCTAAAGGACTACTATATATTTTTTGGCCTTCATTTGCATCTGAATGGTACCAGACTGGGGAAAAAACCAAACAGCCATTTTGTGTGCTTTTTTATGGTCAAGAGAGAAGTCTGTCTTTGAGAAGATGATGGGTTGGAAATAGATCAACCTTATGATGTTTGAGAGAATTGTTTTGAGCTTGCTTAGGATTTAAGTAAAAATCTTCCTGGTCTGTAGCCTTAGGAAATAATCTTCATATTGGGAATGATCAGAACATTTTTTAAAAAATATTGGGACATTTCAATAGAATAAAAACATACAAAATTAAAAGATTAAGAACAAAATAGAAAATAAGAACAAAATAGAAAGAAAATTTAAAATTATTATTTCTGTCCTTTTTTATTAAGTAATGATTATCTTATTCTTTCCCCTTCCTCTTTGATTATTTTTACTCCTCAAAGCCATGAATCATCAGTTCAATCTTTTCTTCTTTCAACAAAAAAGTCCATATAAGATTTTCTGTCTTTTTTTAAAAAAAAGTCTTTATATTTCTTCCGTAACTAAATTGGTCAACTTTGCCTAACTCTCCATCAGTTTTGTAATCCAATTTTCTACTGTGGACAGTTCCCTATATTTTCATCTTTGTGCGTGCAATAATTTTGCCTCAGTTACCATCTACAATATTAGTTTCCCATATATCTTTCATTCATAAAATCCGATAAAAATTCCAGTTTCATTGTAATTGTAATCTGCACTATCTTTTGCATCGTTGTGCGAGCTTGCACCTGAAATTTCTTTGTTTTTTTTTTTTCAGAAATCCACCATGCATGATAAAAAAAAAAATCCTCTTCCTTTTCACGCTTCCAACACTGGTTTACTATTTCTTATCTATTTTTGACAATTTACCTGATACCAAATATCAACAATACATCATTTTATAAAAGTTTACCCATAAATTTTGACACAATGTAAATTTATATCAGCTTCCTACATTTTTAACCATGCAGCCATATTTATACGATAACCAAACTTTGCAGTTTGAGAATAATCAAAATTCTGTACTGTAATCCCATCTCTGATGACCTCGCTTCCACCAGAAGTCTGCTATTTTAAGCCAAGTTCATTTATTACTTTTTACAAGCTTGCTGCCAGCCAGCCCACTCCTAGAGTGTGCTATAAAATAGTCAACAAATTGCTGTTGTCTCAGAGCAATTCCTGGGAAAGCAAGTTGGACTGTGTAAGATCTAAATTTAATGACAGTGGCTAAAGACATCTGATAAATTTCAGTTAGAACAATTTCAGTTAGAGGAATACAAGTAGCCCTCAATTTATGATCATTCATTTAGTGACTGAAGTTGGAACGCTGCTGAAAAAAGTGACTTACATCACTTTATTAAGGAGCTGGGGTGGCTCAGCAATTAGAATGCAATATTGTAGGCTGACTTTGCCCACTGCCAGCAGTTTGATCCTGACCAGCTCAAAGTTGACTCAGCCTTCCATCCTTCCAGGGTCGGTAAAATGAGGACCTAGATTGTTGGGGGCAACAGGCTGACTCTGTTAAACTGCTTAGAGAGGGCTATAAAGTACGGTGAAGCTCTATATAAGTCTGAGTGCAATTGCTATGATTGTCACAGCGTCCCCACAATGACATGGTCAAAATTTGGACATTTGGCAACTGGCGTGTATTTATGACGGTTGCCATGTCCCAAGATTATGTGATTGCCGTTTGCGACTTTCCCAGTTGGCTTCCGAGACACAAAGTCAATGTGGGAAGCTGGATTAATTTAACAAATATCTGATTCATTAATAATTATGGGACTTGCTTAATGACCTCCAACCAAAAGTTTGCAAAATTGGGCCCAACTCCTTTAACAACTGCCTCGCTTAGCAAAGGTGTTTCTAGGGGTTCTGAACTTGGTCATAAGTTGAGGACAGCACATACACTGCCTCCTGTTGGTCAGTAGGTCACAATAGTGCCATCATACTTTGCTAGTTTGAACAATGAATGCCAGACATGTTCAATGTGTATGTTGTCTTTTCCCTGCACAGGGCTTGCTCACTGCCGTCACTTGTCCACTGTCCGAACTCACTTGTCTGCGTTGGTGAACCATTCCATCATCCCTCCGGATAAACCCACGAGTGCTGCTGAGGGATTGACCAAAGAGGTCTGGAGCAAGTACCAGAAAGATAAGAAGGCAAGGCTGTGTAGATTTATATTTAGAGAGCCCTTGATTGTGACTATTTGTTTAGAACAGGGGTGCCAAACTCAAGTTTCACTGAAGACCATGTGTCCTGACTCAGCCGGGTTCCCAGAAAGCAAACACAGACAAACTCAGTAACACAAACCTTCACAGCTTTAATCTACAAATAAACTTCTTTGTGGATAAAAGATGGCTTGCAGCCAATTAGTCCAACCAGAAAAGCCTTGACAGAATTCTTCAGATAAGCCAGTATCACTACACACAATGCTAGAGCTTCTTAGAACATTTTTGCGTTCTACAGAGCAAAAACCCTTTGAAACCAGGCTTATGTTCCCTGGAGGAATATAATTAGCATTCTTACTTCCGAGTCGCCTGTGCTGCTCTTCTATGAATCATCCTGCGCTCATGCGCACTTAGCACAGGCTCCTTGGGAATGTCCTCCTCACTGCTGCCAGCTAACCACAACACCACATCAGGGTTGTGTTTGACCTCAGGCTTGGGTGGGTGTGGCTGGGGTGGGCATGGCCAGATCAACATCACTCATTTCATACGTGTGGTGGCCCAAGCGCTCTGCCAGCAAAAACGGGCTCTTGAGTTCCATTCTCGGCTGTGGCGGCCTCCTGAAACATTCTGCCAGTGAAAATGGAGTTCGCGAGGGATGCACGCGGCCCTCCCAAGCTTCATTTTCGCTGGCAGAGGCACCGGGGACCGGTCCTTTGCTGTTTCCAGGGTAGCCCCGCAGGCCAGATCCAAGCACTTGAAGGCAAGGGTGGGATTCTACTGGTTCTGCCTGGTCCTATAGAACCGGTAGCTCCGAAGAGCAGCTGACACCGACCCAGTTCTATCTGAATCTCCCTCTCTGATCTTCTTCTCTTTGGTTGGGCCCACCTGCCCACCCGGGCTCTAGGCTGTCCTTTATTCTTACCTTAGTTGCTTTGCGCAACACAGCTGAGTGCCGCGCATCAGCAGCAGGTGGTGATTGCTTGCAGGAGAAGTTGTTTTGCAAGTACTGTGCGTGCGCACGCAGCTCAAAGTGCACGCTCACTGAACCGGTTGTTATGCTGGGAGGATCCCACCCCTGCTTGTAGGCCTTGAGTTTGACACTCCTTGTTTAGAGACTCTTCGACGTTATGATGTGGCTGAAATAAATAATGGTGGTGGTGGTTTGTTCTCCAACCTTGTTGTTCAGTTTCCAAACATTTTGTCGGCAGGCTTGTAGGAGTTCAGTGGATGACGTTACCCAGCCTGTTGACAAAACATTCAAAACCTGAACAAGAAGCGCAGAGAACAAACTACCACCAACGTTTGAAATAGCATAGGGTCTCTTCCTGGAGTAGGGGGTTGGACTAGAAGACCTCCAAAGTCCCTTCTAGCTCTATTCTGATTGATTGATTGATCTACCACTTGAGCTATAAATATTTCCCACCATTTCTAAATAATTAAGGACTATCCTGCACTTGCAATCATTTCAGTATCCCCACAATCAAAATGATTGTGATCTGGAAGCTCGGCAACTGGCTTCTTGATAGCTGCTGTTGTCCTTAATGGCTCAAATAAAACTTGCATGTTCAGTGGCGCCGTATCTCTGAACATGGAATAATATTTGTGGGGAGAGCGACACAGCAGAGGACGCTAGAGGTCTTTGCCATTGGGCGAGCAGCGATTCTAAATAAATAAACAATGCCTATTTTAGAGACATTGGCTGACCATTGTGTGCTGGACTGGATGTAGCTTTCTTTGATCCAGCTGGATTTCCTTATATTCTTAAGCGGAATCATTCATCACATGATGTTTCATTAAGAGAAGTTCTGGATTGCAGATATGTTCTCCTTTTCTTGACCCTAAATGGAACAATCCATGCATAAGAGAGAATTTGTCAGCTTCTTGATGAGAGGGATTAGCTTTCTGCCCACAGAATTAATTTTAAGAACTGGGAAGGGGGGAAATGGAAGATGGTTTGATTGGCTATCCTGGATAACAAATAGTCTCCCACTACTATACTATTTACTTATTTATTAGATTTTTATCCTATTTTTATTATTTCATAAGTAACAAGGAAGCAAATGTACCCAATATTCGTCCTCCTATTTTACCCACAGCAACAAACCTGTGAGGTGAGTTGGGTTGGGTTGAGAATGAGAGCCTGGCCCAAAGTCACCTAGCTAATTTCCATGCGTACGATGGGACTAGAACTCACAGTCTCCTGGTGATTGGCCTAAGTCACCTAGGTAGCTTTCATGCGAAAGGTGGGACTAGAACTCACAGTTTCCTGGTTTCTAGCTAGGTGTCTTAACCACTAGACCAAACTTGTTGTGAATTTTTGGCTTTGATCAAATCCTAATTTTACAGCCAACTCCATCTAAAGCAAATAGTTGCCTTACCATATGAATCAGTTATCTTTAGCTATAAAAAAGGGAAGCTTCTCCATCTCTGAGCTGGTAGGTGTTAGCTAAATTTCCCATAATTTCTCTGTGTCAATCTCACTCTCATTCTCACTTCCTTACATATTAGAATTACAAGGAATTGGAGCTGCTGCGACTAGTCTACTACGGTGGGGTGCAACATGACATTCGGAAGGAGGTGTGGCCATTCTTGCTGGGACACTACAAGTTTGGCATGAACAAGAAGGAAATGGAGCTGGTACTTGTTTGTCTTCAGTATTTCCAGGACGGGTTCTAGAAGATGATAATCCAATTTATCGGGAGGTTCAGTCATATGATATACAGAGAGATTCTAGCTTCAGGCCCAGCATTTTGGTTAAAAGGACGAGAGGATGGGAAAGACTTCTCATGATGTCCCTGAAAAACCATTCTCAGTTGCAATAAGAAAATACTGAACTTTGCAAAGTTTGTTGGTTGGGATTTTGAAAAGCAAAACAAATGGAAATGTTGACTGTCCCCCTAGATTTTTCATCATGAGCACTGGAAAACACACCCAACAAGCTCAATGTGACCTTCAGCGTTTCCGCTTAGGATCAAGCAAATTTGTCACAGATTGTATCTTGTAGAACGGGGGTCTTCAAACTTGACAGCTTGAAGACGTGTGGACTTCAACTCCCAGAATTCCTCTTCCAGTCATGTTAGCTCAGGAATTCTGGGAGTTGAAGTCCACAAGTCTTAAACTTGCCATGTTTGAAGACCCTTGCTGTAGAAGATGACCAGACTGAGCCTGAGGGAATGCGTCATCAGTCACGAGTCCCTTTGCACCCACAAGAGATCTAAGTCCAGTCATCGTGAATTCCTTATCTACTGCCAAATTGCTTTGCCTGTTAGTAGTTCAGATTCTTGTAGGGAGCTTAAGCTTACCATAAATCTTTATACCCATTTGAATTGCCCAAATCTCCTGATTTCCCTGGTGCTTGGCTATCATTCTGTGGAATTGCCAGCCTGAAATAAATTCTTCTCTTCCTTCTTCAGGTGGACAGGGACATTGTACGCCGATACCAGAAGGTGATGAGTGAGTGGAAAGCCTGCGAGGTGGTGGTGAAGCTTCGGGAGAAAGAGTCTCAGACAACCACCAAGTTTTCCTCCGGGAGCAGCATAGATAGTCACGTGCAGCGGCTGATCCACAGGGACTCCACCATCAGCAATGATGTAAGACAGAGCGGGGGAAACAATGGCCTTTTTATGACATGTGGGCTTCAATTCCCAGCTTGGCTGGTTCGGGAATTCTGGGAGTTGAAGTCCACTAGTCATAAAAGGGCTATCGTTCCCCACTCCTAATGCAAGATGATGGGTTGGGTCCATCAGTAAAGTCACATCTCACTCTGTCGTAAAAAAAAATCTGCAAAGTAGACACCCAGCAGCTGTCATATCCTTCCATATTTTTATATTTTAGGATTAACCAAGCAGTCTTTGGCATACAACCATTTCTTTATTCAAGATTAAACCATTCAAGACTAAACAGCACTGAATTGCACTTACAGGTGGTCCTCAATTTACGACAACTGAACCCAAAATTTATGTTGCTAAGACAGTCGTTAAGTGAGTTTGGGCCTCATTTTATGACCTTCCTAGCCACAGTTGTTAAGTGGATTAACAAGTGCAGTTGTTAAGTTATTAACACGATTGTTAAATGAATCTGGCTACCCCATTAACTTTCCTTGCCAGAAGATTGCAAAAGATGATCACATATTCCCAGGATACTGCATCTGTCATAAATATGAGTCAGTTGCCAACCATCTAAATTTTGATCTCAAGGCCGTGGGGATGCTGCAACAGTCGTAAGTGTGAAAAACGGTCATAAATAACTTTTCAGTGCCATTGTAACTTTGAATGATCACTGAATGAACTGTTGTAAGTTGGGGATTAGCTATATAATCACAGCAACATCAACATTTGGGTGCTTGGCAACCAGCGTGTATTTACAACGATTGTGGTGTTTTGGGGTCATGGGATCACCATTGGCTACTTCTGCTGACTGTCAGCTGCCAGCAGTTCGATCCTGACTGGCTCAAGGTTGACTCTGCCTTCCATCCTTCTGAGGTGGGTAAAATGAGGAGTCAGATTGTCAGGGGCAATAGGCTGACTCTATAAACTGCTTAGAGAGGACTGCACAGCTCTGTAAAGCAATATGTAAGTCTAAGGGCTATTGCTATTGGCCATCTTCCCAGCCAAAGTCAGAGAAGGAATCCGGTTTCATTTAACAACGGCAGCAATTTGCTTAACAACTGTGGCAAACAAGTCATATAAACCAGACACAATTCACTTAACAACCCCCTTGATTAGCCATGAAAATTCAGGTGTCAATTGTAGTCATACAAGATGCAACTGCTACATCTAAGGACACCATTCAATGTTTCCCTTGTTCTTTGGTCTCCTAACAGCCACTCTCCAAAAGTAGAAGCTTCAAACAAATGTTATGGCATCACATATTTTCTTGGAAAAAAAGTATCCAGCTAGCTATTCCATCTTTTGATTCAGCTATATTGACCCATTTTGTGTTTTTCCAGGTGTCCCTTTTCTGTTCTGAGTATGCTCGGGGGTTTATTGGATTACATGGGGAGGGTTATATAATTATTTTTCTCGCTATTGTAAATCTTGGGATTCTTTCAGCTGCGCTGTTAACTTCCTTTTAAGACCCCATAAGTTCCCTTAGATCCCATAAGCTCCTTTAGATCCCATAATGCCCCCCCCCTTGCCAAATTTGGTTATAATTTCATTGGCAGATGCCACCTGCATTTTCTTTTAGAAGGAGTGGAAAAAAGGAGCCGTGCAAAAATTAAATCTGCTTCTATTTTGTTCTGAACTCCAGCTGTATTGTTCTTCAAAACACTTGGTTTCTCCTTTGTTCTCCTCTTAACAATCATGCCACTTTTTGTGACTTGGGCATCTTATGTCCCCCAGACCATATCCAGCCCTTTGGGGCTGCCCTTCTCTGACCCACGTGGATTCCTTTTATTTTGAAGGGGCTATTTTCCCTCCCAATTTACCCATGTGCCTGAAGGCATGCCTACACTCTACACAGACAGGCAAGACACCAGCATATAAATTGACAGCAAACAGCACTCTTTTACTAGCACTGAGAATGTTACCTAGTTAGGTAATGAAACGTCTGCAAGAAAATAAGCCAGCTCAGAGAGCACCAAGAGTACATACACGCCTACGCATCTTCACAGCCCTGTTGGTTTGGCCCTCCACCACAGTCCCAGTTTCTCATGTGGCCTCTTGGGACAATTAATTGCCCACCCCGTCATGGACCATGCTGTCTTTCGGTTAGCCAGTTTGGGGGAGAGGGGTTTTTTCCTCTTGGCCAAAAAAAAAAAAAAAAATCTGGAGGAGTCAGGTAAGTCTTTTTCCAGCTATGGATAGTCCTCTACTTGCAACCACAATTGAGATGTCTTCTAGCAAGAAGCTAAATAGATCACACATGGAAGTTTAATGGGGTTTCCACCCTGCACGGAAATTGGATGACTTCAAGGGCTTGCCTCCAGAAGTTGTGGGTGCTTCCATCATTGCAGGATTTTAGAAAGAGATTGGACAACCACTTGTCTGAAATGGTGTAGGGTTTCCTGCATAAGACCTCCAAGGTCCCTTCCCACTCTGTTATTCCTTCAGTTCTGTGGCTATGTTTGCACCTCACATTTTTAACCAAGTCAACTTGCTACAAACCAAGAGCTGAGTTCACCCACCGTGGAAATACCAGTTTGAAACTTGGTCGTTATTTTGTGGCTCAGACTGGCATGTGAATTTGATGTTCTATGGTTCAGGCTACAGCAAGGACCAGGGGATGAGATAATCCACTAAGTATGGTCAGCAGTGTTGTGAGAAGAGAGAGCCTATCACTCTTTTCTTCAATTAATTGCACATTGGTTACAATACAGCATTGCAGGCTGACTCTGCTCACTGCTAGCAGTTTGATCCTAATCAGCTCAAGATTGACTCAGGCTTCCATCCTTCCAAGGTCGGTAAAATGAGGACCCAAATTGTTGGGGACAATATGCTGTAAAAGCACTATGGAGCTGTATACAGGTAGTCCTCGACTTACGACCACAATTGAGCCCAAAAGGTTTGTTGCTAAGTGAAGTATTTGTTAAGTGGTTTTTGCTCCATTTTATGACCTTTGTTGCCACAGTTGTTAAATTAGTAACGTGGTTGTTAAATGAATCTGGCTTCCCCATTGACTTTGCTTGTCAGGAGATTAGAAAAGGTGATCACGTGGCCCTGGGAAACAGCAACTGTTGTAAATGTGAATCAGTTGCCAAACGTCTGAATTCTGATCAAGTGACCATGGGGATGCTGCAACGGTTGTAAGTGTGAAAAACAGCCATGCATAACTTTTTTCAGTGCCATGGTAACTTCAAACAGTCACTAAATGAACTGTTAAATGTTGAATAGACTAGACTAGACTAGACTAGACTAGACTAGAATAGAATAGAATAGAATAGAATAGAATAGAATAGAATAGAATAGAATAGAATAGAATAGAATAGAATTATTATTTTATTGGCCAAGTGTGATTAGACACACAATTTGTCTTGGTGCAAATGCTCTCAGTGTACATAAAAGAAAAGATACATTCATCAAGGATCATAAGGTACAACACTTAAATAATAGTCATAGGGTACAATAGGCAATTAAATCATACTAGGAAATAGTCAATACAAAATCGTAAGGATACAAGTGACAAAGTTACAGTCATACAGTCACAAGTGGGAGGGGATGGGTGATAAGGAGTGATGAGAAGATTAACAGCAATAGTAGTGCAAACTTTGTAATAGTTGGACAGTGTTGAGGGAATTATTTGTTTAGCAGAATGATGGCATTCGGGGGAAAACTGTCCTTGTGTCTAGTTGTTTTGGTGTGCAGTGGTCTGTAGCATCGTTTTGAGGGTAGGAGTTGAAACAGTTTATGTCAGGGATGTGAGGGGTCTGTAAATATTTTCACAGCCCTCTTTTTGACTTGTGCAGTATACAGGTCCTCGACTGAAGACAGGTTAGTAGTAATTGTTTTTTCTGCAGTCCTAATTATCCTCTGAAGCCTGTGTCTGTCCTGTTGGGTTGCAGAACCAAACCAGGCAGCTATAGAGGTGCAGATGACAGACTCAGTAATTTCTCTGTAAAACTGTATCAGCAGCTTGAGCTTATACTATCTATATAAGTCTTAAGTGCTATTGTTATTAATGTTTCTGGCTTGCTTTCTCCCTGACTGACCTATTGCTCTTCACAGGTGTTTATTTCTGTGGACGAAATGGACTCTGTAGACCGAGACCTGAAGGCCCACGAAGAACCATCTTTGACCAAGGTTTGCCTAGATGCACCCACGGTTGTGGTGGCAGTTGACCAACAACAATCAGTAGAGTTTGATTCTCCTGACTCCGGGCTCCCTTCTTCTCGGAATTACTCCGTCACATCAGGCATCCTCTCCAGCATCGATGATGGGCAGAGCATCTGCTTTGAGGATGGGACCGAAGAGGAAACCGGCCCAGAACTGCAGAGACCGGATCTAGATCACGTTTCACCAATCAAGGGCTTGGCTTGTTCAAGCTGTGCAATGGAGGAACGGACATGTTCCGAAACGGACTCTAAAACAGCTGCAGAAGAGAGCATCTCTGTGTGCTCTGCTTCCTATACGGTAGGTAAGGGCCAAGGGCGGACATAGGTATGCACAGGAAGTCCTCACTTAATGACCTTCATTTGGACTGGGGTTTCACATCCTCTATTAAAAGGGCATTGCATTTATGAAATATCCGTCCCAGGGAGGAATCCAACTTCCTCCCCCAAACTTTTATTCACTCAGAGGTGCCACCTAGTTTTAATTGTGTTTTTATTATTTATTTCTTTAAAAATCTCAGTGGTGTAATGGCTTAGTGGTGAAGACGCTCGCCTCTCATTCAGAAGGGGGGGTTCAATGCTAGGTAGCGGCATCTTGCGGCAGAAAGAAAAAAAATATCTGCTGTGAACTCAGCATAGGCATTAGGAAGGGCATCCAGCCAGTAAACGCTCAGCTCCACTCAAGTCAGCCCAACTCTATACCGAATTAAGGGCTTAGAGCAGAGGTCTCCAAAATTGGCAACTTTAAGACTTGTGGACTTCAACTCCGTAGCATAGCTGACTGGAGAATTGTGGGAGTTGAAGTCCACAAGTCTTAAAGTTGCCAAGTTTGGGGACCCCAGGATTAGAGGGTCATGAAAAAGGAGTTATTTATTTATTTAAAATCCTGTCATGACCACTCACCTTAAAAAACAACAACACAGCTCTGGGTGGCTCACAACCATCATGTAAAACCAAACATTAAAATCAATAAAAACAAAACACTGGAAAATAAAATCTGGCACCACAAGCAGTCTCTCCACTGATGCAACCACACCTCTATTTTTCAACTTCCTATTTTTATCCATTTCATGGAATCGCTGCCCCTTTTCTTTTAACTTAAACTGTGACATAATTCTTCTGCTGTCTGGTGTCTTAGAAATGTTTTAAATAAAATAACAGACCACGTTAAAAGAAAAAGGATGGGAATCATGACACTGATATTATCTTGAACATGGATGTTGCTCGTGTTTAGGAAAAAAAGTTAGAACACGGTTTATTCAGGTCTCTTTTTAAAAATTGTATGCATCCAAGATCAGAATCGGTTTGCTACAATTATAAAAAGACGAATTTAGACTGAAAGCTTCTTCTTTTGAAAATCCTTGTGATATAAACAGATAACCTTAGATATGGTAGTTTCCTTACTAAATATTTCACACTGTCTGATTTTTTTTTTCTGCAAAAAGCTCAGGGTGATCAACATGGTATTTAATCTGCTCATTTTTATCTTTGTTGTTGTTGGCTTTGTATGTCATTGATTAAGCTGAAATGGCAACAATAAAACTATAGGAATAAGAGTGCATTTGGCACCTGGTGGCATCTCTGGTTTTACAAATTTACCTGCAGAAATTGTTTTAAAACGAATGGACATCTAAAATGCTGTCATTCTTCAAAGATCAGACACAACAGGCAAATATCCTCCTTTGTTTAGCAACAGGTTTATAACACGTCTTTGTATTTTCCAGATAGAAATGCTGGACACTGTTGCCTTAAACTTACATAGAATTGACAAAGATGTTCAGAGGTGCGATAGAAATTATTGGTATTTCACTGCTGAGAATCTGGAGAAGCTTCGAAATATTATGTGCAGGTAAGTTAAACCAAAGAGAGAGGTGTAAGAGAGCCACATCTGAAAACCTTAGGACCATGTTTATCAAGAGAAGAATTGAGCCTTGGCATCTGGAGTCAGGTGCAGCAGAACAGAGTGAAATCTCGAGATTACCCAATAGAACATCTGTGGATGGCTTTGATCTCCTAGAATTGGTTGATATGCTGGTCTGGGTAGATAGCAATAGCACTTAGATTTATATACCACTTCACAGTGCTTTACAACCCTCTCTAAGCGGTTTAGAGTCAGCCAGTTGTTCCCCCAACAATCTGGGTTCTCATTTTACCCATCTCAGAAAGATGGAAGGCTGAGTCAACTTTGAGTCTGGTGAGATTCAAACTACCAAATTGCAGTCAGCAGAAGTAGCCTGCAGTATTGTGCTCTAAGCACTGTGCCATCATGGCTCCGGCTATCTGGGTTAGAATCCATGGAATGTTCTCTATGGTGACATTATTGTCTATTGGAGGCCCTGAACACCACATTTTAAAATAAAAAGTGTGCCCCTTGGCCACCAAAAGGTTTCCTGGTTTTTCATTCTGTTTTCATGATATATGACTGCTATCATTCTCGAAATATTTATGTGTATGCTTTTATACATATTATGCACACTCATACGCATACCCATAGATATGGTGGAGTCCACCTTGAATTAAACTCAGGTCTTAGTAACAACTATATGGATAAATGTCTATGGAGATTCTCAATCATTCAGGTCATGGTTGTCTCAAAGAGGCTTTTCCAAAAGACAGCTGGACTTCCTTGGTTTTTTTTTCCTTGAAGACATTTCACTTCTCATTCAAGAAGCTTCTTCGGTTTGACCCACCACCTACTCCCTGTCTATAACACAATTCTTTTGGCAGTACCAAGATAGTTCCGCACCCATTTGCACCCTGATTCAGGTGACCTTGAGGCCCCAGATAAACCCCCAAGTGGCCTTAACGACTCTCAGAGTGCTAATGACCAGATGGATGCTAAGAATATAATCCTTCCATTCACCACCATTTGAAAGCCAGAACTGAAGAAGCTTCTTGGATGAGAAACAAAACATTTTCAAGGAAAAAACTAAGAAAGTCCAATTGCCTTTTTTGAACAGCATCTTTGGGACAACCATATGGATACATGGTTGCTAACAATGTAAAAGTTTTGCCATTTCCTTTATCCCAGATGTTTTCTTGACCATCCAATCCAAAGGCCGTTTATGCTACAGCCTACATAGCTTTCTTCAGGGTCCATCAAAGTTGTTGACATTTGCCATCTTTCTTCCTCATACTCTCTCAAAAAAACTCTTCAGCTTTGCAATCGCTTCATATTCCTGTTTGATTCCTTTTCTTTGGGTGATGAGTTCAGGTAGTCCTCGACTTATGATTACAATTGAGCCCAACATTTCTGTTGCTAAGCAAGACAGTTCTTAAGTGAATTTTTCCCCATTTTATGATCTTTCTTGCCACAGTTGTTAAGTGAATCACTGCAGTGGTTAAGCTAGTAACATGGTTGTTAAGTGAATCTGGCTTCCTCATTGACTTTGCTTGTCAGAAGGTCGCAAAAGGTGATCGGATGACTTCGGGACACTGCAACCGTGATAGTTATGAGTCAGTTGCAAACGTGTCTGAATTAAATCACATGACTATAGGGATGCTCCAAGTGGTTGTAAGTGTGAAAAATGATCATAAGTCACTTTTTTCAGTGCTGTTGTTACTCCAAATTGTTACTAAATAAATTGTTGTAAGTCAAGGACTACCTATACCTGTATGCCAAGAGAATGGACCCAGAACTGCTTTATCATGGAGAATCTTTGTACCGCTAAACATGCTTAGTTCTCCTATCGAGATTTTGAAATTCTTTCCCTTGTCATTTTCTGGAAGATGGGAGGCCTTATAAACTAGGTAGGTAGGTAGGTAGATAGAAAGAAAAAAAGAAAAAAGAAAGAAAGAAAGAAAGAAAGAAAGGAAAGAAAGAAAGAAAGAAAGAAAGAAAGAAAGAAAGAAAGAAAGAAAGAAAGAAAGAAAGAAAGAAAAAGAAAGAAAGAAGATGGATAGATAGAAGATGGATGGATAGATAGATAGATAGATAGAGATGGATGGATAGATATATGGATAGAACATGGATTGATGGGTGGATAGAGATGGATGGATCAATGGATGGATGGATAGATAGATAGATAGATGATAGATAGATAGATAGATAGATAGATAGATAGATAGATAGATAGATAGATAGATAGAAGACGGATGGATGGATGGATAGATAGAGATGGATGAATAGATAGAT